GCTGCTGCCCGTAACTTCATTTCAGTGGCAAAGCAAAGTTCCTCTTCTGATTTCGAGGCCAGTTCAGCATCAACCCTCCTGCGTTTAGTCCGTCGACCACATTTACCGGATTAATAACTAATGGTGTTGGGTCCTGATTTTAAAATTTCTTCCAAAAGCCATTTTTCATGTATACGCTTGACTTTGTTAAATAACGTTTCGATTTGTTCCACTTTTCATGCATGTTTTTTTGTAAAATTATCAATAATCTTGAGAACCAAATTCTTATCTTGAGCTAAGAGATTCTCACCCCCAATGATATGTATAGTATAATCAAAAAGTATTTGTGGGCTGTCACGTTTTCTAGGGTATAAAGGGCGCTTGGATTTTAAAATTTCGAATAAGTCGATACGCCTATTCGTCGCGGATTTGTCTGTAAAAATACAAATTGATGTAGAACGGGAAGGGGCGCGTGGTGGCAAAAGTTTTTTGATTTTTTTGAAACAAAATAAACTAGGCAAGAAGATGGTGTTAATATCTAGCAGTCGTAAATAGTCGCAAAAAAGTTCTACTCAGTTATACAACAATGCTACCGCATTTAGACTTTAATTATCATTGTATACTTAACTGAGCGGCATAAAAACTCTTTTTCACTAAATATCATAAATATATGTAAAACATACACTACATACCTCCAGAAATATGCAGCATTTTTTGAAGGTTCTAAAACTCACAACACATTATTTCACAGAGCAATTAATACTGCAAACAAAACTGATATCATAATTTCGCCAATCGGCGCATTAAATGTGGCGAGCGTGTAGCTTTTGTTTCTCGTCTAGGGCGACTACGATTATTGTGTTATTGTTAATTAGGTATCTCTAAAGGATGCTAAATGGTTAAAAAACAAATTTGAGTCATTAAGAAATTTAAATTTTGGAACTTCAGATTTGCATTTTCTATCACAGTGCGTTGGTTGTTGATGAGTCGAACTCACTGACGCTTCGCCAATCATCCTGTTGGCTTCTTCAGAGGTTAACTGAACAGCAGCAGGTGAAAAAAGACTATTCTATAATCTCGCTAGTTGATGCCAAAACCAAAAAAAAACCATAAAAAACATAAACATAAGTCATATAGGTTCGAAATATTTTTCATATACACAAGAAATCAATGCTACGTCACCAACTTTTATTCGGAATTTGATTTCGGCATATACGAGGTGCTACAATTAGCGATAATCATTATTAAATTAAAAGTCATTATTAAATATGGCTGTGGCAGTTTTAAAATAACGGTAAAATATCTTTTATTTAAATTAATGAATGTCAACGCTAATGTCAATGTGAATGTGTTAAATTTCTAATCCACAACCTACTATTTCATACAATAAATTGCTTATCAGTAGGGGAGGCTGGGGCATGGCGGTCCACTTAAGCTTTTTATTATTTTTTGTGCCTTTTAACCGTCAAGTCGATTTATTTTTGACTAACTCTAACTAAATTGACCCACTCTCCGCTATTTATAATGTTTTATATAACAATTATAATTATTTATTAAAAAGCATTTAATAAAAATAATGTTACTGATTACGCAAAGAGCTAAAAATGTACAAATAACCAGAATTTATAATTATAATAACAAAAAAAAATGGTTAATTTTTGATTTGGGCCCTTACCCCAGGGGGCCGCCTTGCCCCACCCTCTCCTACCGCTACGTTACTTTTTTTTAAATTATGGTGTCATCATTTCTAAGCAAAAACTTCATACTTTATTTTTTTGGAAAAAATATACCGTTTAATTTTTTTATTTCAAGTAAATCTGTGTTTCAAAAAAAGTTCATTAAGAATAAGTACGCTACACATTGACATTATCGTTGTCATTAATAAATCTTAATAAAAGATCTTTGACTACACTGTTTAGATGTAAATTTCACTATTTTTACACTATTTTGTAATTGTACTAACTTATTTTGAAATGTAAGTAGGTAGGTACAAAGGTTGATTCTATTTATGAATTTTGTTTAATGATAACTAAATTTCGCATGCACTTATATAAATAAAATGTCTAATTTTTGACATACAAATATCTCAAAATGTCAAAATAATAGCATGAAGCCATTTTAAATTTTCTTTTAAATTGTAAGGGGGGTCACGTGGTTCCTCTTTGTAAAGGCGTTTTCACGTTCAATTTTGAAAGCATTTGATTCCTCAGTTTTTGCAACACATTCAAATGAATGCTTGCAAATATTTTATTTTTTCTCTATTACTTAGCCGCAGCTTTAATTAAGAAAATTTTACTAATTTCATCATTTTATCACAAGATACACGTCACCATAACCTTTCACTTGCCACTGTTGTCCTTCCTTACATTCAAAACATCACTGACCACATATCAAAAGTGCTTAGGAAATATAATGTCAAAACAATAACGTCAAAGACAAAATTCCGTTTGAGTCACCAATTGAGTTTAGAGCATTCCATGCTTATGCAGCCAACAATACATTCGAGAGAGAGCACCAAAAATATCAACTAGGGTCAAAGAAACAGCCTTAAGACTAAGAGCATTCCATGCATATGCAGCAAACAATACATTGGTGAGACAGGACCAAAAATATCAACAAAGGTCAAAGAACTTCAAAACAGCCTTAAGCCTTAAATCTATAAGCAACCAAATTATGTGTCCCATGTTTTCTCTTTTTTATAATCATTACAACTTTCCTTTCTTTTTTCTCCACCTCAGCAGGGGTTATTCTCTGCACGCATGAAATTCTTCATGTTCTGCGATACACCCAGAGATGCAAAGCTTCTATTTCTTCAATTCGTTCTTCTTTAGCGTCCAAGATTCCATGGTATAGTACAGCACTATATTTTCCTGAGAGCTGTCAGTATTTTCCTTAAAGAGAGTGCCTAAGTAACTGTTATTTCTAACTCTTTCCAATTATGATTATTATGATATTAATATATATTTAAAAAAATGAACTCCTCTCTTTATTTCTATTTCAACAGTTGTTTTTCCTTCTATCTGAATTACCGCTGTCTGGCCATAGTAGAGGTTTGAAATTTGGTTAACATCTCGAGAGTCTAAGCTTTTTGCTTGTAAGAATTCTATAAGGTGGTCATGGCGAACTTTGTCAAAACTTTATTATAGTCAACAAAGCGCAAATACAAATGGTTCATGTATACGCATCTCTGAAACATTTGATACGAACGGTACCCAGACCAGAAAGTTTCTAAATCCAAATTATGTTTAGTTGATATCTTGTTCTAGTTTTCTATATACTCTGCAATGTATCATTTTTTAAGAATGCCGTTATTGTATATCCCAGCATTGTTTACCATTTCTTCTTCATCTATTATTATTTTGGTTAGTAATGTTGTGGGTCGATTCAGTTTTTGTAGTCCCGTCAGTTCTTTAATTTTTTTATTTATATTGAAGATGTCATGTTTTGATTGTAGTTCTTCAATTTCTTCACATCTTCCTTTTGCTACTCGGATTTTATGTCGTATTTACCTGATTGGTTGTCATTATATAGCTACTAGATAGATAGATATTTTGTTTATGCTCATAACGCAGGTACTTATGACGCGAACATCAAAAAATGTTGGGAGACGTCCAATATACGCATGTTCGAGTCATTTCACATCACGCTTTCAACCAATAAGACCTTGAGGAGATGATTTTGATGAGCAATTAACAGGGATATTCAATATGCGCATGTGCGAGTGATTTCAAATCCCGGTTTCAACCAATAACATTGCATTTTTCAGCAGTACTTTGCCAAAATGTTACCAAATCCCAATCTTCACAAAAACAAGTTAAATATATAGAGATCGAGCAGTTTAAAAACAAAATAGCACAAGGTGTATTTAACTATTTAAAATATGTAAGAATAAGTAAAATTTTCATACAAACTTTTGGGCAAAAATGTTTAGTTTTGGAGTGTGACGTTGAAATATTGCAAAAAAAACTAAATTTTGTTTTCAAATTTTGTATTATTGCGACTTAAAACAAGTGCGGTTTACCGAACGTGTTGCATACTATACTTTTTCTACGACCGTTGGTTTTTGGGTACATTTTCGCAAAACACGAATACATTCACTGACATGACCGTCAGAATTGACAAACGTCAAAATTCAAAGCGAGGAAGATATCTCCGAAAACATCCGGTTGCTCCCAAATCCGTGCGGTAAAATCCCGGAAATGTCAAGACTGGCTGGGATTCGTGGGAAACGAAACTGACGTGGAAAGTGAATTTTTCTCCTCCCGTCTGTAAAATACCAAATTACCCACCGATCTAGCGTGCGGGAAGCGTCGCTTTACCACGACAGTTGCGTTTCCCATGAATCCGAGCCACTTCGGACATTTCCGGCATTTTACCGCAAGGATTTGGGAGCAATCGTAATGTACCCAAAACCCAAAAACTAACGGTCGTAGAAAAACTATAGTATGCACCACGTTCGATAAAACTTTTTAATACACTCGTTTATTAAACACTCGCTCTGCTGCGCTGCGCTCGTGTTGAATAAACTCGTGAGTCAAATGCCGTTTACCGCACTTGTTGCATAATATACTATTGTGACTGTGTGACTAAAGTGACGCTTCCCGCGCGCTAGGTCGGTGTGGAATTTATAGCATAGGTGAACTTGTTTAACCAGTGGCATTCGTGAGAACTTGTAAATTTGTGAGTTGTAATAAAGTGGTACGCCAATGCTTTTCTTAATAAATTTAGATAACCTCATCAGTTGTAAACTAAAATGGTCTCTTAAGTTTTCGAAGAAAAAATTTATTTTGCATGTGCCCTAATATCTGAGATTTGCAAATTAAATTAAGATAATTCGCGCTATTTAAATTCCAGAAATTATAACAATAATTTATTTATAATTATTAATTAGAACTTTTTTACTAATTTTTACTTACTGAATAGGCTGTTAAAGTTTCTCCATTGTAATTCAGACCAGCGTTGCACCTAGTAAATATGGATTATGCGAAAGCCATAATAATAATTAGCTGTGTTTTCGCCAGGTTATTTGATTTATGACATGATTCATTTTTACCTGCACTATGGGGCACCGAGTGAAAACAGTTATTTTTATCGTCTGAAGAGATATCACAATCAACATCACTTCGCACATCATGATGATGGTGAGTGTATGTGAAGAAAATGGATAATCCTGCGGTTTACCTCACTGAACACGCATGTTATGTGTTCCATGGTTTACGTTTGTAGTTGACGGGGAAATTTTAACTGCGGTCGCTAAATGTCATCCAGCTGCACAGCGTAGCCAAACTGCTATATTTATTCTGCACTTTTTATGTTTCATGATTACCTCAATCAATGATTTCGCGTTAATGATAATTTTTCTATTTCACTTTTGAACTTAACGCATGAACATATAAGGGGTGAAAAATGAAATCACTTTGGGCAGTGGTATAAAAAATACATAAAACATATATTTGGCAACAAGGGGTGAAAAATTGTATAAAGAACAATGGATGTGCCAAATAACAATTCTGCTATTTATAGCCCCTTCTACTAAAAACGTAAACTACGTAATTACCAAAAACTTAGGTTCTCAACTATGTATTTATTTGGGGCTCTCTTAAAGTACTAATCTTATTTGTAGGATTTGGCATCAGCAGCACATTTTGGGACCAAATATTTGGCACAGCAATATCGTTAAGGAAATTGAACAAGTCCATTAAATGGTAAACCAATGTGAATAGCCCGTTTTAGTTTATTAATAAAAGGTTTTATTCAAGTGTGTTAAACTTCATATTTTCACCCATTACCCAAAAAATAAAATGAGAATAGTGACAATTTCAACATTTAATTTTTACAATATATATTACAATATTGCCACCAACAAGATAAACAATCAAATACATAACCTTTTGTAAGTTTACATTATTTAAAATGGTTAGTCATGACATCTTTAATTTTTTTTAAGTAAATAAAATTTGCTCAATTAAAAGACCGCAAAATGGCGTGTACCAAAAAAGTGGTAAAATAATTGCAAAATGGAATGAATTCTAAGTACTAATACATCAATATATAAGTATCTACATAAAATTGTTTTTGTAGGACCCAAAACAATAGAATTATTGAATACTGCTTCAAACTCCCTTACTGGCGATAGTTCTTGTGAATTTCCGGTTTGATGTCATACACCAATTCTAAGATCTCCTGAATCACCTAAAAGTAATTCAACGAAATAATACCGTCAAGTTAATGAACTGTTTTTTTTTTTAAAAACAGACAGCCGAATTTCTTTATTCCTAATTAAATTTTTCGTCAACTTGATAACTATGACGTCAATGTAGCACTAGGTGTGGTTTAGTCCACACAATTTTTCATCACATGATTGGTCACATTTAAATGACAAAAATGTTTGGCAACTTACTCTTTCTTTTTGGCCAGCGATTGTTTTGTTCATTTCGGCAATCCTCATCTTGGTATCGGCATCAATTTTAGCTGCGACGTCCTCTTTGGACCCCATGTGTTTGGCTTCAAATTCACGAAACTGACGTTCCCTTTCTTTACGGTACTTTTCAATTTCTTCCTGGGCCTCCTCTTTGGCTTGCTTTAGTCTTCTCGCTTTGCCTGTTTAAAACGCACATATATTTCCAACAATTTACTTAAATACAATTATCAAAAATCAAGTAAACCCTAATAGTCCATGGAGAACTACGCCTATATTGTTTTGCTAAAAAATATCCACTTACGTTTTCGTGCTTCAGACACTTTCTCCGCGGCCCGTTTCTCGGCTGCCAAAAGCTGCTGAATGCCTTGTGTTTGGCTCGCCATGGTTATTCTTCAATTAGAATAATACGAAACAAAAATTGAAAACCGAATACACCTGACCCGATTCATTCACGAGTTGAAGCAGTCATATGATCGATATAATCAAGGTTGCCAGCATAGAAATTGCCAGTGCAGCCATCCAAAATCGAAACACAAACAAATTGTCCAATCTGGATATCCATGGGAGAAGTTAATTAACCGTGACCGTGGCTGTGTCTGGCCAATTCGTCAATTGTTTAAGAAGAATTTATCCTGTTCTGTGATTGTGTGAGTTGTGGCGAAATCGAGGATTTAAATTTGGGAAAGGGAATGATAAAAATCGCGAAAAGGTAGTTAACGGGTTAAATTATTATTCCTTCGAGACGAAATTGTTTTTTTCGAACTAAACATGACCGAAAATAAATATTCAATCTTGTTACCGACATACAATGAAGTTGAAAACCTGCCTATTATAATTTGGCTTCTGATGAAGCATTTAGCAGCAAGGTAACATATCAGTAAACATGAAATCATCCGTCTAAATGTTTTCTGTCGCAGTGGTTATCTATTCGAGATAATAATCATAGATGACGGCAGTCCAGATGGCACCCTGGAAGCAGCCCAGCAGCTGCAGAAGATATACGGAAATGATAAAATTGTATTACGACCACGCGAGAAAAAGTTGGGACTGGGCACAGCTTATATTCATGGTATAAAACATGCCACTGGAAATTTTATTATTATTATGGATGCCGATTTAAGTCATCATGTGTGTATAGGAAACCCTAATGAGATAATTTTGCCCTGACTTTTACCACTTTTTAGCCAAAATTCATAAAGGAATTCATTGAAAAACAAAAAACCAAAGACTATGACATAGTTACTGGAACTAGATATGTAGGAGTGGGAGGTGTTTACGGCTGGGATTTTAAAAGAAAACTAGTTTCACGTGGAGCAAATTTTCTCACTCAGTTACTGTTAAGGCCCCAAGTGTCTGACCTAACTGGATCATTTAGACTCTACAAGAAACATGTGCTTGATGATCTTATTAAAAGTTGTGTGTCAAAGGGATATGTATTCCAAATGGAAATGATAATCAGGGCCAGGCAGAAAAATTACACGATAGCTGAAGTGCCAATTTCATTTGTAGATAGGGTTTACGGACAATCAAAACTGGGCGGTACAGAAATATTCCAATTTGCGAGTGCATTACTATACTTATTTGCTACTACATAATTCATTCCATTTTGTAATTAGATTAAGTTAAATATCCGCAGTGAAATAAACAGTCAGAAATGGTACTGAAAATAAATTTAATAAGATAAATACAGCCTATTTTTTGCCTTTTGCTTCACGTTCAGCTTTCCTTTCTGCAGCTCTTTTAAGTTGTTGTTTTGTGCTCAAATTATGCCGTTTTGAGAATCGCTGATTCTTCAAAAATTTGGAGTCCATCTAAAAAAAGTAAAAATTTAAAGAATGAAATAACCGCCCATGGCAGGAACCAACCCCTAGGGTAGACTCATGTAAAAACCTCTTTGGTTTTTTAATTCCATTTCGATGAGCTTTGCGATCTAAAAGATATACATTGCAACGGTATTTAATTTATATAGTTTATAATGATTCACTCACTTTGATTGTGGTTTGTATGATTTTTGGACTTGGCCATTGTTTTGAATAACCTAAAAAGAGGTTAGAAATATATATTTTGGGATTATTCACAACATTTTAAGAAATATGGACTTATTTTAACTGTAAAGTATATTAACTTCAACCAGAACCCAAATACTCACTTTTAAAATATGTGATTATTTAGATAAAGTTAGAAATTTCAAAATTGTGAAACTCCCTTTCAATTACCAACACAAAAGATCGAATGGCATAGAATACTAGCTAGGGTTATTTAAAATAGTTAGGTAAGCTATATTAAAAATCAAGTTTTTAAAGTGAAATGAATTGATGTAATTTGCAAATTAAAAAAATGAGCGTTCATTATAGACAAAATTGTTAAATATCGATCTAAACCAATTGAAATATTACATTTCAACGGAGTTTCCTATGAAAAGGTACACGAATTGACATCGCCGCATTTATGATGACTGCCTGAATTTAATAGCAACATAACCTGTAAAAAAATCTATTAACTATTGAAAAGACATTTACGAATTTCGTTTCAAATAAAAACTAAAAACGTATCATGGAGTGCTTATTAGGCATCAGATTTAATGATTTTGTTTTAATTGCCGCGGATAGAACTGCAGCGAACAGCATAATGGTTATGAAATCAGGTAAATCATTTTCTTTTAAATTTTGTAATGAATATAAAATGCAATCAAATTTGTGATGATTCCTTCAGATGAAAATAAACTTTATAAGTTATCAAATAAGCTTGTCATGGCTGTTTCTGGAGAGGCCGGGGATACCACTCAGTTTGCTGAATACATTGAAAAGAATATTCAGTTATACAAAATGAGAAATACATATGAATTAAGTCCGAAGGAAGCTGCTTACTTTACAAGAAGAAATTTGGCAGATGCTCTTCGTACAAGGGTAAAGGCTTAACTTTATCCTGTTTTATCTAAACTAATTTTTTCTTTGTTTAGTCTGCTTATATGGTTAACTTGTTATTGGCGGGCTATGACGAAAAAGACGGTCCACAATTGTATTACATGGACTACTTGGCATCGGTAGCCAATGTGGATTATGCAGCTCATGGGTACGGAGGCTACTTTTCCTTGTCCATTATGGACAGAAATTATTTGAAAAATATGACACCAGATCAGGGTTACGATCTACTAAAAAAATGTGTCCAGGAAGTCCACAAGAGGCTTATTATCAATTTGCCTAATTTTAAGGTACAGATTATTGATAAAAATGGTATTCGTGATTTGCCAGATATCACTATGGCATCGGTAACTAATTCTGTGTAATTTAAATTTTATACTTGCATTTTTCTTTTCATAAATAAAGGTTAAGTGAAGAAACTTATTTTTATTGAAAAATATTAAAGCACCTAAATTTAACCCTATTTTCTATAATCTGACCTCAACTCAAATTGAAGAGTTGTAAATCATTTTCTAACTATTCCCAATGCATAGAATCAATTTTATTTAACAAGAAAACAAAGAAATTAAATACTTTTTTATAATTCTCGGAATCCAAAAAACAAACAATAAAATAACTTCTCACAATTTTTTAAATATGTAGGTATAAAAAACAGTGGAACATGATGGAAGATTACTCAAATTCAAACTACAATTAATAATTAACACTTAAAAAAATCATTTAACTTTCTTGGAAGTTTGTTGCTGTTTGGTTTCTTTTGTCTCCTTCTTGGCATCCATGCTGACTTTATCATCCTCATGTGAATCCTCATACCTACAATATCAACTTAATTAGAAAAACTATTACATAAAAGGGCAACAACCTACTTAAACATAGCAGTCAGATCACCCTTAATTAGAGCAAGCCCTAAAGGTGTCCCAATACAGGCTGGAACTAAGTACAACAAAGCAGGTTGGGCGTGTTTGAAGATATGCATGACACAAATGGTCGCCATCAAGCCCAAAAAGTATGCCAAAACTGAGGCATGGAAGTAGGTTTTGGTTTTCCGTTTGAGACTGTGATCGAATCTTAAGAGTAGGGCAATAAAAATACCAGGAATCACAATGTCTCCCAGGCCCAACATGGCGAAATTGTTTGCCGCCAGGCCATTGGTAAGTAAATCTTGGGGAAACACAACTACAAATCAAACATTATGTGCACACTGACATGAAAAAAAATTCACACTTCTTACGTTTTATTGGCGCTTCAAAACTTTTGGCGACAGTAACCATAACGTCGGTTCCAAACACCCAAAATATATCATAAACAAACAGTCCAGACAACAATATACAACCGGTAACCACATTATTCAAATGCAGCAATTCGACTGCATTCACTGCAAACGCCAAACCGAACAAATTATTGGCGACCCAATGCTTCTGCAACAAATACCAGGCTCCAACCAATAAGCATGCCGCTAATGACACTACATCGTATGTGGAAAATCGGTAATCTATTAGGTATTCCGCCGCATCACCTTCCCCTTGTTTAAACATTATGTGGAATGGGATGTTTGGAATTGCAGCAGGGACTAATTTGCTAACTATGGGGCTGCAATAGAAAAATGTGAAAAAATACTGTCAATGATTAACGCTTCATTTGGTTACCTCAATAAATGAGTCAGAGCCAAAACTCCAAGGAAGAAAAAGTAGCCCGTCAGCAACAAATTGATGTATTCTTTTGAAAACAATTTAAAAACAATATACAGGCCCACAAGAGCGCAAGATGCAATTACAGGAAAAATAGCGGCATCTCTTTTCGTCATTTTGTCAGGTTTCTAAAGATAAAAAACAAACCTGAAACAAACATCGGAAAAAAATCTTCAAAAAATACCTTTTCCTTATGGTAAATCACAGAGCGGTATGAACCAAAAAATATGGGTAACATAGCCATAATAACTAAACTCCCGTAGGCCACGGCCATTCCCTCAGGAGTGCTGGGGATTCTTTCGGTTTTGTTAACATTTTCTGTTACATTTTCCGCTGTTTGAGCCAAAATCGAAGGCAATACCATTGCCATATTTTTAAATAGTTTTAAGTGACGTTGTACCTTTTGGACACGTCACTTGTCAAATATTCAGTATCGTTTTTTATTACTGCAGTTAGCCAAAATTGCAGGGATCATTCGGTCAACTTGAATAGACTCTCTACCAAAAATTTAAATTGACATTTTTTTTTTCCAGAAATGAAATAGGATCGTGAACTATGAAAAAGAACCTACAAAAATGTGTTGCAATTAATTCGTTTTGAACAAATAAGAGGTATCTCTGAAAAAATTAAGATATCAGAAAAACACAAGGTCACTTTACTTCTGTGGTGGAAGTGCACAGGTCTAGACAGAAGTTTAAAGTTTGAATTTAAAAAACGCAAAATAAAATAGTTGATTATAGATTTGAAAAAGGGTCACACTAAGGCAATATTAGCCACAATCAGGAGTAGTTAATCTATATGACGGTAAAAAAGTTTTCATTCCCCTAACCTATAAATGGTGGTGCTCAAATTGAAATTCAAAAAAAATTCCGAATACGGATTTTGGAAACTTACTTAAATGGCAGACAATGGCATAGGATCTTCAAAAGAGGACAGCGCATCGTTGATTGTACAAAGTAATTTAGAGTGCAAAAATCTTTATGATTATTTGAAAACTTTGCCTCGGAAGATTCTTGAGCGGCTTTACAATCATCCGTCAATATGTCTAGCTGTTTACAGAGAATTACCGGAATTAGCAAGACAATATGTTATTAGAATTTTGTTTGTTGAGCAGCCAGTACCCCAAGCAGTGGTTGCTTCATGGGGATCGCAGGTGTATTCAAAGTAGTTGCTGAATTTGTAGTAAATGTGATGGAAGTCTTACAACCAATTTTTTTAGGGAGCATAACTATGTTAGTAAAGTATTAACAGAATTGTCTGTATGGCTCGAAGCTACCATACAAGGTGGTCTTATGGGTTGGATACTGTCCCCTACTTTTAAAAAGAACCTCAAGATCGCCTTGTTAGGAGGGTGAGTTAATAATATACTTAGCTTTAGGTTTTTGTATATATTGTTTGATTCAAAATTAAATTTTCAGTGGGAAACCTTGGAGTATGTCTTCTGCTTTAGAAGTTGATAGCAAAGCTAGAGACATCAATTTTCTAGATGCCTACTCATCAGAAAGATGGGAGTGCGTTTTGCATTATATGGTTGGATCACAGCAGCAAGAAGGCATCTCAGCTGATGCCGTAAGGATTTTGCTTCATGCTGGTCTCATGAGGCGGTGAGAAGAAGTCTTTCAATAAATGACTTCATGACTAAATTAGAAACTTAATTTTTTAGAGACGAAGAAGATGGAAGCCCTGTCATAACCAGACAGGGATTTCAATTTTTATTACTAGATAGGCATGCCCAAGTATGGCACTTTATACTGCAATACCTGGACACTGTGGAACAAAGAGGGCTCGATTTAGTAGAATGTTTAACTTTTTTGTTTCAGTTAAGTTTCAGTACTTTGGGTAAGGTAAGTAATTTTTTTTTATTTCAATTTTTGTAACTGCTCTTACAAACTGACTCTGTAGGATTACAGTACAGAGGGTATGGGCCCTAATTTACTAGTATTTTTGCAACATTTGCGAGAGTTCGGCTTGGTGTACCAAAGAAAGGTAGAAAATTCATTGTTTTAAAGTACAAGTTTTCTTTTAACCTAATTTTGTAGAGGAAAGCAGGTCGCTTTTATCCTACTAGACTAGCACTAAATATTACCAATAGCCAAAACAAGAATGCTCCTATCCTCACAGAAGATACTCCGAAAGGCTATATTGTAGTAGAAACAAATTATAGGGTGTATGCTTACACCGATTCCAATCTCCAAGTGGCCCTTATAGCGCTATTCACTGAGCTCATGTATAGGTAGGACCGGCACAAATAAAAAATTTAAGTTTGGAACTATTTATGTTCCTTTTAGGTTTCCTAATTTAGTTGTAGGTGTAATTACTCGTGATTCCATAAGGCAAGCTCTCCGAGGAGGCATAACTGCTGACCAAATAATAGGCTACCTCAAACTGCATTCCCATCCACAAATGCTGACTACAGAGGCAAAGAACCCTTTACCCCCCACTGTGGTTGATCAAATTAAACTATGGGAGCTGGAAAGAAATAGGTTAACTTATCACGAAGGCGTCCTCTATAGTCAGTTCCTTTCACAGGTCGGTTTTATTTATTTTCATTATCTTAAGAATGTATTAGGTTTGTGGCAGATCTGTATAAAGGTTTTCAATGTTTTGTGTAGTGCTTATAAGTTTTTGGTACTATAAAAATACATTCTAAAAGTAATGTCATGGTACATTTGAACTACTGCATATGAAAAAGTGATAAATATCAGGAAGAATATGGCAGGACTTTTTGCAACATTTTCAGGCCGACTTCAACGTACTGAAAGAGTATGCTCAGTCGATGGGTGTTTTGATATGGTGCAACAAGGAAAAGCGCACCCTGGTGATAAACAAGAACGCCCACGACGATGTAAAAAAATTCTGGAAAAAGTATTCCAAAGGGAGTTAGAACTGACTAGTATTACGATTAAGTGTATATCAAATTTGTAACCTAGATTTTCAAAGTAATAAAAAATTGATATTGTTTTTGTACAATAAATCTTTTTTATTGCCGCTCCCCGCCCGTTAGCTCTCTTTTACCGTGATTTGCAAACTTGCAACTTTCAAAAGTTTTTGGACGGTAGATCTTTATCCATTTAAAATCTGGCAAATTATTATACATTTTTTGATGGCTTAACTATACTAAGCTACCAAATAATAATAATAATATTTATATCTTTTACATAAAAAAATTCTTTTCACAGTAAGGGCCCATGGGGGCAAATAGTGCCCGACCTAGGTTGGCCATAAAATAACTTGCAGCTACTTACTATTGGTTGCGAGTTGCATCTCGCCGATTATACACACTATATTAATCTTTTTTATAATTTACGAATTGAAAAAGAGATATTTTCAATTTTACTTATTCCATTGTACCACTTCTAATGCTTTTTTTAACTTCTTTTAAGCACTTTTTTGTCGACATTGAGGTGTTGCAGTTCATTAATTAGTATATTATGGAACAAATGTGATAAACGGCATTTTAGACACGAGCGACTTAAAAAAGTTTACCGAACGTATTGAATATTATACTTTTTCTACGAGCTTTAGTTTTTGAGTATATTTTCGCAAACCAACACAAATAGATTCACTGACATCACCGTCAGAATTGACAAACGTCACAATTCAAGCCGTGCGATAAAATCTCCGAAAACATCCGATTGTTCCCAATATCCCACAAATCTCGGCAGTGACTATCTGTGGGAAACACTCCGTGGTAAAGCGACGCTCTCCGCACGCTAGATTGGTGTATAATTGGGTATTTTATAGAAGGGAGTAGAAAATAGTATATTACCGAACGTGTTTCATACTATACTTTTTCTACGACCGTTAATTTTTGGGTACATTTTCGCAAAACAACACGAATACATTCACTGACATGACCGTCAGAATTGACAAACGTCAAAATTCAAAGCGTGGGAAATCCCGGAAATGTCCGAAGCGGCTCGGATTCGTGGGAAACGAAATTGACGTGGTAAAGTGACACTTCCCGCAGGCTAGGTCGGTGGGTAATTAGGTATTTTACAGACGGGAGTAGAAAAAAATATTTTTTTCTTTGTCACCAGTTTATTTAGCACTAGCGGAACGCGTGCCAAATAAACTCGTGACTCAAATACCGTTTACCGCACTTGTTGCATAATATACTATTACTGCGTAATACACATAGCTTAGCGTTAAAATAATACTTTTATTACGAGTGTTCATATATTCATTTTTTAATTCACTATAGAATTCACTACAAACGCTTGTTTGATACTGGTGATAGTAGGGGTCTCTCTGCATCTTGTTTCTTTAATCCAATAATTTTAAGAATACGCTTCTGAAGCCGATTCAACGGGTCAAACGATGAACTCTTGAGACCTCCCCAGCCTATGAGTGTATACACAGGCACACTATGGGAAAGACCATAATAAATTTGTAATAACTGATTTCTATTAGTTTAGAGGTGATAGTCAATTTTAACTAAGGTTTTTTTTTAAACATTAATTATTTAAATTAAAAATAATAAAAAAATATGAACATAATATAAATATAACATGAACAACGAACATTAATTACTTAAATTCAATATTAAATCAACAAGTAATGCAAGTAAATAGAGCTTATTAGTAATTACAACACATTTTCTATATAACCTCCATCATTGGCAATCCAAGTAGTAGGTATAGATGCAATGCAATTTTATAACCGCGTCTGTTGCGTGAAGTCTTTCTACCTCTTGCCGAATTCTTATATGTAAGTCTTGAACACTATTACGCCTATTTTTATACACTTCGTATTTTATACATATATTATATTATAAATACACATATTTTATAAAAAAATGTCCAGAGGTATTAAGTCAGGCCTCCTCGCTGGTCAATCCATGGTCCAGTATAGACCAATCCAAAATGGAAAACGTTGATTTAAACAATCTAGCAGGCACTACGGTATGACATGGCGAACTTGTTGAAAAATAAAACTTTCTTTAATATTGTCAGGCAGATTATCAATTCATGGAACAAATTTAAATATCTCTCCCGATTCAGAACAGGCATAAAAAGCTAGCTCTATTATTCGATCACGTATAATGCCATACCACAGATAAACACTTCTCCGACTCTGTTTTTTAATTTCGTTTAAACGATTGTCATCTTTAATGAGAGCTCTCCTTTAATGGGCGGATAATCAAATTATTGTGATGGAGCTAAAACGAAACCTTGACAGTCATATAATTGGGCCAATGACGGTAAAACGTGGCTTCACCGCTAAACTGATCGATAACATTTTTTAAGGTACGCGCGTGAATAAAAGATATGGACCCGACAAGTGCGAAATTAAAAATGGAAGAATCTCCGTCGCCATCCAATATTTTTTATTGGTCTCCTCTGCCCCCTAGGAAAGAGCTGGGAATCAAAAAGCCCGAGGTAGTTTTTGTTAACGTTATATAGGCGCAAATTAGGCGGGGAAAGTTTATAGCGGAGGGTTATAACTCATTAAATCATAACCCACTAGTGACCACATGACACTGTTTCCATGGTTTCAAATGGCTTACTAGTTATTTCTAAATTTCTAGTCTCACAATTAGGTTGACATGACACCCTTTTTATAATTAAATAAAAGAGCGAGTGAATATTATGAATCATAACTTACTAGTGAATTATAGACCATTTAAAACCGTTGAAATTGCACTTTATAATTTTCTAACAGTTACAAGAAAATGTTATTTTGTAGTCATTAGGGGATGATTTGCAAGGGAAGAGAGCGTATCCCAATTGCGACGGGAGCATTTGGTTAAGATCATGTGAGCAAGAGATCGTGGAACCAATCGATGGTGAAATCAAAGGTAAGATTGATCGATTTTAGTAGATTATTGGTGCACAAATAAAGTATGGGTTGGTTAAAAATACTTAAACGATTATGGCATCTAAAAAATCTAAATATAGATAAAATGATAATAGCGTACCTATTAAACATTAAACCCAAGGGGATACCCAGCAACGCATTCATAACCTTTTAGGAAACTGCTAACTCGGAAACACTGTACAATCAAAAAGTTTGACGTGTATACCATATATTCACGTACTACTCATATTTTTCAGTGATAAAAATTAAATTTATTCCAATCACAAATTTTTTAACAATAAAATCAGTACCTACCGACAAACGATTAAAAAAGTGTTCTTGTGATATTGTTCATAAAAAAAACTTCAGTTCAATAAAAAACATTTTATTTGAATTTAAATTAAACAATGTTTATTTCTGCTTATTGGCCCCTGAATAAAGTTAGTTTTGTCGTGAAGTATCTTGTTCTATGTATCTTATGATAAAATAAACACGATCACCACAATGAAAAAACATTACGATTGCCACACACTAACCCGTTTTCCCGGAACATTTAACGAGACCTAGACAATTGACGATCTGTCAGCGGTCATTTTGGTCGTTGAATGCAACAAGGTCATCGGTTGAAAGCAAGATTTTAAATATCAAACGTGCACACGTTGAATGCACCCTAAAAAAAAATCATAGTTGCTTCATAAGTTCCTGCATTTTCAGCATAGCCAGGGCCTCTATATCTATATGACAACACCAGATAGATAGACTAGAAGAGATAAAATTGTTTCTTATATTTTCCTCAATATTTTCAGTAGTTTCCTCGGGTAATTGTCCGTCCGTTTGTGTTAGGCTTCGTCCAGAAACACAGATTAGTATTGTAAAGCCTTCTAAATTTATATTATTCCCTGAATCGGCAGCTTTTCTTTGGTTGTGCACCATAAGCCTCTTAAAAGCCATTTCAACTTGTGCAGAATTCCATTAAAAGTAACCAAACGCATAGCAAATCGGAATGCAAAATTATATTTTTTAGTAAAATTTAATAATAGATAACGAATTTGTTAATGAATATATTTCAACTAAAATAATCATAATAAATAATAAAAAAAATCACTAAAGGTGTAACAACTTTTTATGTGAGCAAAATAGATTTGTGTTACAACCTCACATATGGTACCAGCCACAAACTGTACTATATACCTCATCTGCTACAACTTTATAGGTGAAATACCAACCTGGTTAAATGGCTCACTCCTTCGGAATGGTCCAGGATCTACTAAGGCTGGAACAGATGAATTTCAGCATCTCTTCGATTGTTCTGCATTACTGCATAGGTACAAAACAGATAAGATAATTGCGCACTTTTATGCAACTCTTTCAGATTTGGAATCAAAATGGGAAAAGTAACATACCAGTGTAGGTTCCTGCAATCGGAGGTATACAAGAAAATATGTGCAGCCAAACGACTGGTGGTCACAGAGTTTGGGACCAGAGCCGTGCCAGACCCGTGCCAAAGTATTTTTCAAAGGTGCTTGTAAGATATAGCGTGCCTCTTTCAATTATTTCCAAGTCAAATTAAGCACCCTCTAGTATCGACATTTTGGTAATCCCGCAGTTTACGTATTTAATAGATGGGGTAATTTTAACTGTGGTCGCCGAATGTCATCCAGCCGCACAGCGTTGCCAAACTGCAATATTTATTTAATTCGACCAGGAAATTAGACAAAATATCAAAATTGTAGTTATATAAAACGCTCCACATTCTCTTAGTTTTTCTATTTCACTTTTAGACTTAACGCATAAAGCTAGCATAATAAGTCAAAAATAAAATCAAATTTTGTTGTTCCTAGCGACATACTTATGCCCTTTTGCCCTTTGCCAAATTTTAAGGGATAAAAAAACAGCGAATTTTTTAACGCTAAAGATTTTTCAATTTTTGTTGGCGCTTCAAGATGATTATGAAAACCGTACGACCTTTGACAGTAGTATAAAGTGGTACTCGAATATTTGACATCAAGGGGTGAAAAATTCTTTAGAGTTGGTTAGTTGCGCCAACTAACAATTTGGTATCTATGGCCCCATTTACTAAATACGTAAACTGAAGGATTACCGACCTTTTGTTTGTTTAGAGTAGCTACGGTTTTCGACTTTTCTTCGGACATCTCGGATAACGCAATGATTTCAATATACCCATTCGATGACGAAATATACGCTTTCAACGAGATCCCAATCATACACAAAGTAAACCCCACGACCTTAGAAACGGAGGGGCAAGTTAATGTTAATAATTATGTCAATATTGTCAATCACACTTCGCATCCACACGTTACGCATGACGGTCAGCATTGGGATTTTCATTAGGGTGGAAATTTGAATATCAATAGGGACCATGTTCTAGGCGTTTACAATTTAGGAATGTCGGTATATGCGTCTGGACCATATCATAGTATCGTTTATTTTCCTAAAAACACATCAGGTGAGTGAACCTATGATCAGTTATGCATTCGGCAACTGATGCCTTTGACTTCATTCAGACGCCAATAAGGAATCCATGTTTGCAAAAACGAAGCTAGTTGCGTCAGTACCCGCAAGGTGGCCGTTGAATCCGTGTTACATGCACACTTTCGGTGAACATTTTATATGACGTTCCTTAACTTCTTATAATTTTTATAAGTTTCAGGCATCACGCCAAGCTATTACATCATCGTGGAACAACCACTGTGTATCTACTTGCCCGAGTTGATAACTCAAAAAATTAAAAAGGAACCAATGGCGGGTTGCTTGAAATGGTATTCGGACGAATACGTGCGTACAATTGCCTTTTTGTTTTTAACCCAACTGATCTGATCACTTGATTTAGACTCAGTTTAGTGTTTTATCGAGACACACGGGCAAGTTGGCTTATACATTTTTCGCCGACGCATTCTTCTACCTTCATATTATCAATCAATATGAGGAAAAGGATCACATAGTGGTGGATATTTGTGTATATAGGGATCCCTCGATGATCGAATGTATGTACATCGAATCCATAAAGGTAAAGGTTAAGTGTATATCTGCACCAAAGAGCCAAGCCAAGTCCCGTTTTTAAAATTTTGCTGAAGTGAATTTTAAAGTTTGTGCGCTAATTACTCTTAACGATACGTAGTAACTTGGTAAAATAATAAAATAATTATTATACTAATTATACCCAATGTTACCCAATTATACCCAATGTACAGGGTGGTCGTAATTGTGTTTTAACAGGAAAAACGTATTACTAGCTAGAGCAAAACAGAATTACACGTCAAGGGCTCGATTTTTGATGAACATTTACTGGTTAAAACAGCAACGCGATATCTTCACTACCAAGCGAGTTTAAGGCGTTTTACCATTTTTGGCCATTTTGAAAATTTCCCATAACTTTTTCAATTATGAAAATTTTGTATTCTGATAAAAACATGCCATTTTTTTTGGCGTGCTCAGATTTTTTTCTACAAGGTTTAGATCACCGGAGTTGGATTGGACGAGGAAGTTCTTGGCACCCCATTCCCCAGACCTAACTTGATTGGACCTCTATTTGTGGCATTTCTATTGAAAAAAGTCATATTGCATTTAATTTTTTTGAGAATTTTGCAATTTTCTGTTGATATATCAAGAAACACGCTCTAGCGGGATCACTAAGAACTAGACATATTACAAGATGGGTTTGACAGAGAAATTTTTTTAAGGGGACCAAATTTGTAAAAATCTGTTTAGTCGGTTAGCAGTTACTGCTGTATATTTAAAAAAAATGTTGAATAACCCCTACCACTTTATTTTGATTTTGATATATATTATTGAAAGCTAAGCTTTTAATAATATATATCTTTTTGTTACATTTACTACAAGGATTTCAGTGGAAAATTACTTATAGAGTTTAAGATGGCCGTGACGCCCCTTGGCGACCATCTTGGAAATCTAAAAATATTTTCCACGGTTTTCTTTTGACCACTTTCATAATAAAAACTTGCCTTAATCGATACTAACCGATATACAGGTTGTCAAAGTTACAATTTCATTTTTGATTTTTTAAAATAATTGCTGAAATAATGCTTTTTACAGAAAACTTGACAAATCGGCGTTTTTTGTATATATGGCATATGGTATTGTTTGTGCATTTGATACTTCCTAACATTTTCACTTCTTACACCTTTTTTGCTTTTTAAATTTCGTCTCGAGTCCCCGGTTTTGTGAAATTTTTATTTGAAATTTTCAGTACGTCATTACGTAATATTTAAAATTTCATTTTTTTAAACCAACAATTTAAAATAATCTTGATAACTAATGTGGCAGTACAGACTCAAAAAAACTTCCACGTCAATGAAAACATTATGGAAATACAAATTTAAACTTAAACCAAGGTAAAATTCAAAAACTATTCATTAAAAAAAGATTTATATCGATGTTCAAAATAATTTACATTCACTTTCGAAATCAATAGGATTGAAATCTGGACTGCTAGGCGTCAATCCAACGATATGCAAATTGATTATTTAGGTATTCTCGAAAAGTGCGCCGGAGTGCCATCTTGTATGATAATTATATTTGTTTTTTATGTTAAGTTATAGAGACCGTATATAGCCAGCTTTTCTCGGCCCTACAAACTGTGATTTGATTAATCCGGCTCCCACTGCCATTCGTCTTGTGCTTATTTCGGGATTTTCAACTACTTGGACTAAAATTTCCTCCCCCAGCTCCGCTGTTATCAGTTTTGTTCGCCCCACAGAATCACTGTTGATACGGAACGAACTAGTTTGGCCAAGTCTGTTATATTTTTTGGAAACATCCTCTTATGAGTAAAAAGTATCATATCATCAGGCATCTCCACGTTCAAAAACAAGTGGCATTATCAGAAAAGTAACCAAAACTTTTTAAAAACACCCAAGATACTGAGAAACAGCGAGGAAATTCACCAGAAACCAGAGTGCCCTTATTGCATTTGTTTTAGTCAAACATTTTATTGTGTTTATGTTAGTCAAAGCCTACTTTTTGCATGTCAACATGAAAGTTTTGTGTAAAAACGGTGTAAAAAAATAATTTTTAAAAATCTTGCATACATTAATTGCCTAAAAAAGTTATGAAGTTTCGAATATACGAAAAGAACCACTACCATTTGCCCAAAAATTAGTCACGAAAACACTCGAATATTTCAGCAATTATTTAGAAAAATCAAAAATGAAATTGCAACTTTGACACCCTGTATATCGGTTAATATCAACTTTTGACCAAGATAAGTTTCGTTAAATCGCAATACTTTTACCTTACCATTTACCATTACTCATGGGACACCCTGTATATTGCGATTTAGATGATGTTATGTTGTATGAGCGGCTTCATTTTAGACGATGCAGTATAACACTAATTACGCGAAGATGTTTCGAGGTCGGCCGGTAAGATTCGTTTTACCACTCAAGCCGGAAGCGTATGACGAGGTCGGAAGTTGCAACCTTATAAAATTGGACGGCACAGAAGCTAAAGCCTATTACGTCGACAGAGGACGCAAGATACTTGTAAAAGGCGAGAGGCTGTGCGATTTGGGATGCGAGACACCTAGAATAAGTTACGAAAGATTTCTCGGTAAGTTTGCTAACATACATTTTTTTATACAGATAAACATTTATGTGTATATAGTCCAGTACCATCGAAGTGAAAGCCTATGACATTTGTCAAAGATTTTGGCATCCCAGTATACTAACACAAGCCGCAAATGAATGTGGGCGTGGCAATAATGTAATATTTTCCATTTAGCTCCTAAGGTTTAACCTATGGTGCGGCAAAATATTTCCGTTGTCTGTATGTACCGGGTGTCTAGTAAAGGCAACGAGGTACGGTATTGGGAGAAACGGATGTTCCTGGAAAATATTTTTGAGGTTCTGAAATGGCCACCAGAGGGCGTCATTGACTTTTAACACACGTTTTTTATACTAATGATACTTAGAGTTAAGTCTGTTTTTGAGCTGATACAAATTCAATACAATTCTCTTTTGTTAGATGCTTTTTTACTCTATCGCTAAAAGGAAAGGAAAGAAGGAAAGGAAAGAAAATAAATGTCGGTAACTCCAAAATGGCTTAAAGGCTTTTCGCAGAGTATCAAACGTGCTATGATTGAGATGAATGCGATTGAGTGAGTACCCTACTACCAGATGGCGTTTCCTGATATGATGGCAAGAAAAATAATTTTCTGAAAAAAAAATTAAATGCAACAATATGAATTTTTGTTACTTCATTAGAGACTCAAACCAAGAGGCCAACAACTTGGTAAAAATTGCATCTCAATATCTAACCTAACGCAACCCTTATAAATTATAGAAACTAAACATTGATAACACACGAAAAAATCAAACGTCTTTATGAATGTTCAAAGTGCCTTGGCTACGGCATATCGAATACGATTAACTATATTTTCAGGGGTACTCCTTCTTTTTCAACTGTTTCGCTAAATCTGGTCTAAGAAATTCAAAATTTCGTGAGAAAAGTGTGGTGGACATCTATCGTGTTGAAGCCACATATCTCTTCTCATTTCTAAGGGAACGTTTTCTAATAAAATCGGCAAGCAATCTAACTATACACCAGTGACTATTGGAGTGCCCCAAGGTTCGATTTTGGGACCTTTATTGTTTAATCTTCATGTAGCCGATATGAATGAGCGTATCAAATATTTAGTGACGCAACAAATGCGGATGATTCTCACACTTTCTTTTTTTCTACGGAGGACTTAAAACGTTCTCAAATATACTTCAATCTTGAGTTGAATAGCGTATCTGTATATTCTATGGACCGTAACCTCAAACTCAAGGCCTCCAAGTCTTGTATTCGTCTATTTAATAATGATAAAAATATTTTAGACACAATAACGGGGAGTTTTGAGCCTTGTTGTCATTGTTTTATTGTGCGTATATTGTTTATAGGAACTCACTACTCACACAGCTTATGTGTGATTGGTCTTGAGTGATGATTTTAGAAATCACCCTCTCTGAAGTTTGGCTATGCACTCAAATAAAAATTTCTATAATATTAAAATGGTGGAAATTGTACTTTATTAATTTGCTTAAGTTCTTTTAATTTTGTAATTCTAGGAAAGCGTTACCGCTACTTTTATGCGATCAGCGCGGATGTTGATGCTGACAATCCAGGATCAGTAAGTAATACATACATATTTTTTTTTCTTAGGCAATTTTTTCTTCACATTTATGTCATTAACAGAACAAACAACAAAGTTTTCTGGTGTATCGTAATACTATTTACAAATCTTCTGGCTTCTTCCTGCGTTGGTTGTTGATGAATCGAACTTGATGCCGTTTGGCCAATGATCCTATTGGCTTCTTCAGAGCTAAACTAATACTGGACTACCTGCTTATATGATGAGTTTATTTGTAGTATTCTTAAGATCCTTTCATGTTCTTTGAGTCTAGGTGATATTTGTCGTCCAGTCCCTCAAATTTATTCTTTGCTGTAAACTCCTTGGTATCGGAATTTTGTCTTTCATGAATCGAAGATGGTAAATCTGGTTTTGAGAATATATTTTTTTAAAACTTTTGAAATGTGGTCACAGCGATATTTTGAAAGTAAGGAAAGAGAACAGTGGCAAGTGTGGGGTTGCTTTCGGACTCATTATCTTTAGAAGGTTGTGGTGAAGTGTAATTTGTGATGGAACGCTTAATATCTCTTATGTGTAAATTATTAGAGAGAAGAGAGTGTTTTAATTCTGGATTCAGTGAATGGGTTGAGATAGTTTTGATCCGTCAAAGACAAAATTGCGTTTGAGATACCAGCACACTGTGGGTCCCATGCATAAACTAGGTTGCAATAAATCATTATTAAAAATGCAAAATTTGTCAATGTTTTCAAATTAAGAACATACTGAAACATGTAAAAACAGTATTGCTTTCTAAAAATACTTTACCAAGAATTTTTTATGAAGGCACAATTTCAGATGTTTAAAAGAAAGTCTATTTTTATTGCAATCGCTTCAATAAAATAACGAAGTTTTCGTACTTTTTAAATGGCCTTGAAAACAAATGCCGCTTTAAGTATTTGACAATTGATGTTAGTCATGTTAATTAGTTTAGACCTGTACATGCAATGTTGAATGTTTGTGTTTTTTCTGCGATTTGACAAGAAGTGATGGGATAAGTACCATTAATATTTAATTTTTCAAATTCTATAGGGTAAAAAAATATGAAGGTGCCAAGCAAAAATATACATTTTTTATTAGGCAAGGGTGTAAACTACTAAAAACACTACATATTGTTTTCATTTTATACACACGTTTAAGCTCAAAATTGCAAGACTACTTTTGTTTTTTTGTTTTTAGAAATGTACGAAACATCGGAAAAAACGTTTTTTCAATTCTGGAGTGTCTCTAGTAAGAAAAACCTTGTACAAGAAATATTTAAAATATTTAAGTCTTTACTCGTGGTATTATTAACCGTCCAGAAACTGCTATACCATTCCACAGATATTATTAAACATTTTGTTGTGCCTATTGGGCAGCTCTCTGCGGAGGCCCAAGAGGCACGTCACAAAGATTGTCGGCGATATCGCGAGCATCACACCCAAAAAAAAAAAAAATCGCGCATTGTCACGAATAAAGACTTGATGCGAATTTAATTAGTATCCTCTGACCCCATTATAGTCAATTACCAACAAAAAACTGTAAGACCAAAAAAACCACTATATTGGCTCTATTTAAAAGCCCAGAGCTTCCATACCTTACAAAAAATGACTATGTTTCGGAGACCTCCGAATATGACTGTGAGTGTATGGGTAGTGAGTCTGACATGTCATGACAGCGAGAATGACTAAAATTATAATTTACCCAGTGGGTTTCAGGGTTAAAAAAGTATGTTAAGTAGAAAACATCTCTGCCAAAAGGTTATTTATAAGCCAATTCTAAGGCTTTTTCTTATCCTTTTTTGTGTTTTGTATGATCTCTTGCTTGCTGTGTTGTTTTAATAAAATAGTTATATTTTCAATAGGTTAATTTAATTTAGGTAGATAGTTTATATATTTGGAATTTGTTAACCAGTGTGTTTTCTGTTTCCTTAAATACAGTTAAATTATTTCACGTGACTGCAGAAGCTTTTTGAATAAAACTGTGCAGTAATTGCAAAACGTTTCCAATTTTTTTTTATTCTAGTTTTGGTATATCTTTAAAATAGGCTCCGAAAAATACTAATGTGGAAACGCTGGAAAATTGAAAAAAAAGTATTATTATTTACTGGCAATGTATAATAATAAAAAATAATAATTTTTTTAAAGGTTTTTAAGTAACTAGAAAATAATCGAATTAATGCAACCCAGTTTGGGCAATGGGCACTCAGTGCAGCAGTTTACAGCGGGAAAACACACGTTGAAGTTACCGAATGAAAAATATCAACTAAGCTCAAAGAACATTAAATCGCCTTAATACTACGACAGATAAACTCCTTAGCGGTTGCCAAACACATTCACGAAATCGGACATAAAATTTTATTCGACAAAACTAAGAATCTTGCATCTAATAAATGGTTCTACTAACGAAAGATACGAGAGTCCATAGAAATCTATAAGAAACTAAACAATCTTAACCGCAACTCAGGTCTTTACCTTTCATCAATATGGGAATCAGACATCTGAGACAAAGTTCATGCCCCTCCTTTAGCTCCGCCCCCATCAAACAATATATGTCAGTTTCAGTTGGGTCTGAAGAAGCCAACAGGATGATTGACGAAACGTCAGCAACTTCGATTCATCAACAACCAACGTAGGAGGAGTCTCGAAGATTTGTAATTAGTATTACAGTAGCCTGTTGAAGTTTCTTTGAAAAATGTATATATAATACACACACTACTCAAGGAAATTGGAAATCATACCCTTAACCAACATGTTGCAATAAAGATTTTTTTTGTTTTGAACAATAAAAACTGCTATTAATTTTTGCAGGTTATCAAAATTGATACTGAAACGAAAGAATGTAAAACATGGAATGAAAAAAATTGCTTCCCTGGAGAGCCAATTTTTGTCTCAAGCCCCGATAGTAAGGTGATTACACATTTCATATTGGTTTAAAACAGTTTGCTGCTAACTTAATGTACTGCTCCAGGCTGAAGATGACGGTGTCATATTATCTTCGATGGTGTGGGGAAAAGAAGATACCAACCACGTGGGTTTGTTAATATTGGACGCAAAAACTTTCAAGGAGATCGGACGGGCGGAGTTTAAAACTCCCGGCCCCGTACCTAAATGCCTCCACGGGTGGTTTTTACCGAACCACGACCGTTAACGGATTGGCGAAATAACACACACATACATATTATTTATTTATTATCTTATTATGTACTATAAATTAATAAACTATAGTATTCAGTAACATATGGAAGTTAATAATTCATAAAATATACTAACATCTATATTTCATTAACAAATAAAAAATACTACTCTTTCATTGTCTATTATTACTTAGAAAATTGCATCATTCTGTGGATTAAGGAAAACAAGGACAAATTATTTTTTTAAAAAGCGTTTCCAATATAAAGATTGTTTTAGCATGATTTGGTAATCAATTTTTGTGGTGTTTATCTACTAATCTTCCTCGTCAGATTTGGGATTTTGCCCCCCATAACTCAAAAGCTTGCATCTGAACCAGTTTTAATTCCAATTGTACAAGGTGACTCTAAAAAGTCTGTACAACGCTTGGTCAATCCAAATAAGTCAATTTAATTAAGATGTTCCACCAAATCCCTGTTTTTTTTTAACATTTAATAACCTGTCGTTGTCAATGTCAGGTTAAATCGACTTATTTCGGAATGTACTTACTGATTTCTAAAATGTGCAGGCGGAAATTTTTGGAAATAGACTCCCTCAAAAGACATCAACAACACTGATTTAGAAAAATGCCACAGACCTGGAAGACTTATACCGCCGGCGTTATCCAAAATTATTTTCAAATTTCGAAACATCCCATCTGACATGAAACCTAATATCCGGTGCAAAATAAAATCGAAAATATTCGTTTAGTTTGTTAAATATCGACAATGATCACATGCACTTAAATACATCGTGTGTCACTAAAATATCACATTGTTAGAAAATTCTTACGACAGCTTAGTGTAGCTCGGCGGCGAGAACTTTTTCCGCAAGAATTTCAAAATATACAGCGGCAAGCAGGATATTAATGTGATGACCGTTACTTTCCATAAGAAATCGTAAGTTCTGATAAACTCCGCGTCTGAAATAATTCAAGGCGGATAAATAAATTAAAATTACGGTTTTTGGGTTGAGTACAATTTAAGAACGAAACATAATATTAAAGGAAAATAATATACGCTATATGGGGTGTACTGTAAGAGGGGAAGAAGTCGGTTAATTACTTAATTTAAAACCGTCTCAAAATCGAGACATTTTCGATTAGTTCCGCAGATATCCGGAAAAACTATAATCAGACATGTATTTTGATTTTTTTCCTGGCTTTAATTTAAAAAAAATTAATTCAGTTTTAAGCATTTTTTGACATTTCGAAAGAGCTCGTCATTTTGGAAAATACATGTCACACTTCACAATTGACAATAAGGTAAAATTTATACAAAAAAAATAAGGTGGCTATTAAACATTATTAAAGTGAAAGTTACTTTTTGCAACGTTGCCGCTTCTTCGAAAAAGTAGCATCAACATTGAATTTTTAAATGGCACCATGCGTAATTGCATGAAAATATTTTTTTTTTATTTTTCCGATGAAAACATATTTTAATTAAATTTTTATTACTACGACACTGGAGCCAATAGAAAGTTAAAATTTAGGGAGGAATAGAATTTCATGATATCTAATTTCGATGTACACTACCTTGCCAAGCTACGTCCAAAATTTTGACACTGAACATTTTACATAATTCAAGGCTACTTCACTTCACTCACATTTTTATTATTAATTTAATAAATGCGTTCTTTGCGATATTAAAATAATTTTTATATTTATTTTAAAACCGTCTTTTTTGATACTGTAATAATTAGTTACCAAAGTAAAGTGTAATTAAAACTCTAATATTTAACAAATTCGTCAAGACGGATTGACATAATAATGTTTTTATTTTATGGCCACATGTTTTGTGTAACTTTGGCTTTATTGTTAATTAAAGGGCGTTATTATTAAGTAAATGAAGTGTGATCCATGCATTTTTTCAGAACGACCAGCCCATTCAAAATATTCAATAAAAAATGCAAGTCCGTCTTTAAAAAAATGAAGTTGATGATGGGCACGCAAAACCGAAACGTCGTAAGGAAAGGAAAAAATTGAAATGAAATTACCGATTTTCCCTCGAATTTGGGACAACCTATACAGGGTGTTCCATTTTTGATGTACCCTCGTGTACCTTACTGCTACTGAGACTTGAACAATTATCGGTTTTAAAAGTGGGTCATATCTTTCTCAATATGAAAAACGTTTTGATTTTTTCATTGCAACTTTTTAACGGAACTAAAATCGCGCATTTAATATTAATTTAATTCATGTCCAGAATCTTAAATACGGAAGACATTTTTTTATATCGATTTCAGATATTTCAATGCACATTTTATTTTGGCGATATTTTAACGATTTTTGATAATACGGCCCTGTTGTTTTTAGACTATTTTACGTTTTATGGTATCTACATGATATTGTCTAGTAAGGGAAGTTGTATTGCTATATGCAAGACATTGTAAATTTTAACCTCAATTTAACCTATTATATGAATCACGTTTTAGATGTTCAAACTGATGGCCGTAAAATAAAAGAAATTATAAATAGTCTACGGATATAAAATAGAGACGTCATATACACTATTAGTTTAGTGTTTATGGTGTGTACACTTCTTCTGCGTCGGTCGTTGGCTACTTCAGAGTTTCACTGAAACTGACTCGAACTGTATTCTGTATCTGCTTATATACTTATATATCGATGATTGATTCCCATGAAAGGTAAAGAAAGACCCGAGTAGCGGTTTGTTTGGTTGCTTATAGATTTCTATAGATTCTCGGATTTTTCGTTGGTAGACCAATTTATTACATGCAAGAATTTTAGTTTTGTCAAATAAAATTTTCGTGAATGAGTTTGACAACTGCCGATGAGTTTATTTGACGTGGTCTTAGGGCTCTTTCATGTTCTTTCAACTTAGTTGATATTTGTCACCTGGTCTCAATGTATTCTTTGCCGCGTATACATAGATGTTGAGAGATTTTTGGAACAGTGGTAAATATGGTTTTGACGTTGAATTTCAGTGGCAAGTATGGGGTTGCTTTCGGGGTCATTATCTTTGGAAAGTTGTGGTGAAGTGTATTTTGTGATGGAACGCCTAATGTAAGATGTAAGATGTTTTAATTCTGGGTTCAGTGACTCCGGTTGAGATAGTTTTCCGGCTCTGTAAACAAGAGAGTTGATAACAGATGATTTTTTGGCCAGATGGCGATGTGACAATGCATTCAAGTATCGGTTCTTTTTCTTAGGTTTTCTGTAAACACAATGAACCAATGTTAGGTCTGATCTTCTATTGATAAGAATATCTAATGGGAGATTATTATTAGTTTTTATTCAATGGTAAAACGTATTTTAGGGTTTAAATGGCTAAGAAAATCCCTGAGGGATTCTTGACCATGACGCGGAATAACAAAACTATCATCAACATAGCGTTTCCATAATTATATAAGCAGGTCCAGGATGTGAGAAAGTTTCAGTTAAGTTCTGAAGAAGCCAACAGGTTGGTTGGCGAAACGTCAGCAAGTTGGATTCATCAACAACCGATGCAGGACAGATCCAGCAGATTTGTAAATAGTATCAGCTCAGAAAGATTATATCATTTTTTCAAGTCCCAAAAAAGTAACGTGCAAAACTTTTTCCTAGCAATTTCAAAGTATCTATTTTACTTACCAAAATAATCGTGCATCACTATTAGGGACAAGCCGTAGAGACCCAATGACAGCAATTCCGCCAAGATCATAAGGTAGTGCCAGGTGCGGATGTTCAGGGCCACCATTATCAGTTCTGTCAAAATTAAAGAGGTAAAACTAATAGCGACGATATGAATAAACTCGTCCTCAAACAGCAGCAGGGCTCCGTACATTATTACGCCTCCTAAAAACGCCGCCATCTGTCAATTATCACGTCGTTGAAACGCGAATAGTCACGTTACCTTGATAAATGGAGACGAGGACCCAAATGAAAAACGTCTTGTAGGACAGGCTCCTCCCCTTCGCTAATTCTTTATATAATTCCGGATATGTCAACGCTATTTCCGGACTAACGTCCTGATCCAACACCAAACTGAACACCTACGATAACGCAAAAATTAATGGATTCAAGCTTTGATGACGCTTTTGATTTTTACACAAACCGGAAACATTGTGTAGACGGTGGCGTAGCCCACCATAAGGAATCCCTGATAGAGCGCCACAGAGCTTAAATAAAATACACTACTAAACACAGCCTGCATGGTCGATATAATCAGTCCACGGTGAATGACGAATTGAGACAGCGACGCCGACCTTTTGTAAGATTTCCGGCCGTGTACGAGCAGAAGCCTCGCCAAAATGGAGAATTGCGGAATACTGAAATCGTATAGAGCAAGTTGAGTCTAAGCCGAGGACGTTGAACCACTAGAGAAGACCCAACCGTCATAAACTTTCAAGAAAATTTCAATCATCATTTGGCAACACCTCATTCTCAATTGATTACATTGAAATAGAACAAATATCGTTAAAAAGTTTTGTTTTTGCATTTGATTTTGTAACTTTTACTAGAGATGTGTAATGTAATGCAAAAATTGACATATCCCGAAATAACCACTTCACTATTGAGAATTATTTGTTTTATCAATTTCATAAATAACTTGACTCCAGTGTGATGTCATTTGACAACGAGAAAGACAAGAGATAATGAAATGTATATAGATATATAATCAAGGTAAAACCTAGACAGAGCAATTATTTGCTGTCTCCATCCTCGAAACCATCTCATTTTTATGAACGAGCAATTTAAGTTTCTCAAAATCATTAATTGGGTAGGTACTTATCATGTCTTATTCTAGCGCGTGTATGTGTGTGTAGCACAGTAGGTATTAAAGAAAATTAAATCTTTCCTTTTTTCCGAATGAACAATATACGCTGCAGCACTGCTTCTTTGGCCACAAAATCGAAAATCTATTAACTTTTCGTGATTTTTGGATCAATAAAATTCATTCATTTTAATAATTATTTTCCTCTCTTATAGGAGAACGTGTTGTTGTTCATTAATCGATGGATTAAAAAGGTGGAAATTTTGTTGGAAAAAATGCTGTATTTCAAGCCGGAAATATCTGATAGAACAATCATAAACGATTGACATTTTTGAAAGAGTGCATGAAAAACCAGAATTATACCTTTTCATTCAATCTAGTATTTTCGAATGAGTTCGGAAAAAAATATGGAGAACGAGTTTGTACATACTGGCTCTAAAAATGGCTTTGTGGAGTATGTCAGTCTTATTTTAAAATCGGGCTGCAAATCAGGGGACTACCATGATTCAGTGAACAGTGAAAATTTTGAAAGGTGATTTATATTTCGTTCTTATGGGAAAAGTAGACTTTTTCTAACCTACGAACAAAGATAAGACCTTTAGTTTTGTGCTCAAGGAAACTCTCATTTCCTCACTACTAATTATAATCATTAACAATAATGAACAATGCATCACATCACTGAGCCAATACTTTATCAAAGTGGCATCAAGCAGTCTCTCGTCGAGTGGCTGCAAAAAAGGAATATTCCATTTCAGCCAGGTTTAATGAAAAACTTGCCAGAAAAACTGCACCGGTAGGTAGTTCCTAAGTATTTTTCTTTGTATATGAAATTATTTCAAAATATAATCTTTTAAGAACGGACAAGTTGGCATTGGAAAATAGCCAATAGCGTTTTGCAGCTTCGGCCTTGTCATTGCTAATTTACTGCGATAGAGATTTGGTGAAATTGTAAACGGTATTATGATAAGAGAAAATCAATTTCTCGAGGGAATATATAAACAAACAAAATTTAGAGGAAGATGCTTATACCACCGGGAGACTTAGATTTTTAGTAAAGGTTCGTTTAGGCCTTAGGCACAGCTGGGAAGATAACACTACGTCTACAAGTTCTAAAAAATTTAGTGAAGGTCATCGGCATGTTGTGGTTCAGCTGGATCAAAGGAGCGATTTAAATATTTAAAAGTGGACTAAAAAGCGGAGATTATTATGACAGTCAAAAGTTTGAAAATTGGTTTAAAGATCAGCTGGTACCAAATCCAAAAAGTTTGAAAGTTATAGACAGCGCAAGCTATCATTTCGGCCTTTTAGACCACATTTCAAGAAAATCATGGATGAAGCAGAGATTGAATGGACGGTTAAAAGAAAAGAACATTGACTTCTCGGAGAGAGATGAATATGTAAAAGCTTTAGGCCATAAAACGCTAAGACTTCCACCATACCATTGTCAGTTTAATGCTATTGAAATGAGCGCAAGAGGAAATAAGATCAATATATTGTTAGTCTCAAAGGGACACTATTGGCGCTAAATGTAGTATCTTCAGAGCACTGGAAAAATTATGTCAATCATACAAAAAATCCAAGAAGCTGGACATCTTAAAATTTAGTTTTGCTTGCAATTAGAATTAAGTTTTGATAAAAATGGCTAAATGGCGTCAATTTAATACATTCCAAACAAAGGATAAAGCAAAAATCAGAGTAAAGTAAAGGCTTGTGGCCTTATTTGCAAGGAAATTGTAGTTTTGGAAGTTATAAAATTCTTGTAGACCAACTCTGGTGGCGCTTTTTGACAAGTTACAGCGTCTTCTGTATGGAAAATGCCAATTTTAGGTTAGCGCTGAAGAAAACTTTCTTATCTATATTACACTTATTATTATTACATTTTTTAAACTAGCGTGACGTTATTCCAGAAAGGTAATATGACAACTATATAGTATAGTAGGTTTTTAAAAGTGAAAAACTATTTTAGGAAAAGAATGTGATAAAGACTGCTAGTGAAAATGCCGCAACGTTGTGAAGTTTATAATAAACTTACGATTTGCGTGTACAGCGCATTTATTTTCTTATTTCGTGTATCATTTATCCATAGTATTACTTATTGTTGTAGATTTCCAAGCAAAGCTAAATAACGACATGTGTAGTGTACGTGACTAGTTGACAAGCTGCAATTTAAAAAAAAAATCTTCTGACTACGATTTTCAATGCGATGGGGTTAAATTTGTAATGTTTTTCCAAAAATATTCAGTGCTGAAGTTTTTAGAACACAAAAATCAATTACTAACTTATCTTAATTGGACTATGAAATTTTAAATGTTTCACAAAAGCAAATTGTTCGTCCATAAACATAAAATGTATAAAGATTATTCAGAAATATCTTTGTTTATACTTATTTGCAAGCTAATATTTTCTTATGTAACCTGGCAGAAAATGTATTTGAGGAACATATTAATGAATATAATTAAGTTCAAAGTTCTTAAATATTATACCTCCCCTCGCTTCGCTGGAGAAAAGAGACAAAAATTCTGTTGAAACAACAAATGTCAAATTCCAAAACTTTTTTTGTTTTTATTAAAAACTAAATGGAATTTTGCGCAATTAACTTGATAAAAATTGCTGCTTCCTAATAACACAAACCTTATACTATAATATTAGATGAATTTGGTGATTATTTGTACCACCCTCAACCCCCCGAAGGTCATGTGTTTGAATAAATTAATTTTAAATGATTATTCTAATATTCATACAAAACCATAAAACAAACTTTTAGTTCTATTATAATAAATAATCTGGTTGTGATATTTGTTATCTTAAAATAAAACAGATATCAAAAAGATTTCATTCAGCTCCTAGTTTTTCAAAAAATTCACTTTTATAATAAATTAGCGTGAGCGGTTTGGTGACGCCTTTCCAAGCATTTTGCAACTATGTTTGTGAAATTACCTTCAAAACTTGTTTGTAAAGATATTTCATACGAAACTTGATATTTCTGTTTTAAATTGACCTACTTTACATATTTTCATTAATTCAAACTTTGTTTAATATTTCAAGTTTACTATTTGTAACAATTTTAAACTCGCACGCCAATGATCCGTTGCTTCTTTCGGAGATGGCTTTCATCCATCTACAACGATTACCATAGCAACCATTCATGTTTTGGCAACATATAATTACTTATGTTGTCTCTTCTAGTTGAACTTCTGTGGAAATGGAAATGCATACCAAGTTGCTACTTATTTTGTTACAATTTCCTCTGAATTGATTAGTAAACCGAAGTCGGTTTTGGAAAACATTTTTGTTTTCGTTGTTTAACATCTGATTGAAGGTCTTCCCTATGGTTAAATGTCTTTGGTTTTATCTACCGTGGATTACCTAAAATCGCCGGCCAAACTGGCCTGTTTGCCCTCCCTACCCTCGATACCAATGCCGGCGTCGGCCTGTTGAATCATGCTGACGTCATTACCGCCGTCACCAACAGCTGCCGTACGTTTGCCAGTATGCTGTTGGATTAACTGAACCTGCGTATAGGAAATTATGGGATAATTTTTATACAAAGTAACCCTAAACACTACAAACTGCCTGTAACATAACCAAAACTGACTTCGAAGTCGAAAACAAAATTTATAACGCATAACATTAAATTCTGCCATGACATTTATTATAAAAAACATTTCAAAAGTTTTTCGTTTTTTTTTTTTGGGAGGGGACAAACAAAACATGAACTTCGTTAACAAACCTTACAAAAATGCCATTTTATCGGTATAATAATGTTCATAAAAAATAACCCTGACACTCTACATGTCAAATACATATGTATTATTTAGGTCCTCAAATTTTTAATAGTCTTCCTAAAAATATTAAAAGAAAAACATATTCCCGATGTAGGAAAGAAATCAAATAATGAACACTGTAGCTTCACGATTAAAATGAAAATAAACATTTAGTACCAATATCCATTTCAAATGTTTGTCAATTCAAATTTTAAAATGCTTGACGACTAACCAAAACTCATCTCGAAGTACAGAAAAAATTCTAACGCTTAAAATTACATACATTTCAAAAGTATTCCGTTTTTTTGAAAATAAAACATGAACTGCGTCAACAAAAAAACACTATTTATTATTTAGGTCCCAAAGTTTTTGAAAGTATTCCCAATACTACTGTACAAAGTAGCTTCCCGACTAGTTATTTTTAATATATACTTGGAGTTTCTAAAATTTTTGGAGCTTTTAATTCGATATTCATGTATATGGACATTTTTTTTCTTTTTGTGTATTGTTGCTAGTTTTCTGTTAGTCTGTTCTTGTAATAAAGTAGTAGTCTAGATAGGGTAACTTAGAGAAATACTTTAGGAAATTATGAAATTTACTTGCACTACGTATTATTGTAAAATTCAGCCATTAAAAAATCGAAATAAACTCAGATCAATTGTACAAGTAGATTTTTTCTGTTTTTTGGATTTAAGAAAATTAGGTAGCTTTATTTTTATGAGGACTCACAGTAAGTGAAGTTGTAGTCGGGGCACATCACTTCAAATATGTTACAAATTGCGTATGTCGAAACGGTTTGTCTTATATAATAAAGAAGTAAAATATTATAAAGACTACTACAAACATATACATATACCGAAACGCCAAAATATCTCCAAAACTGAAATAGATGGAACGAGAAAATTCAATACCTGGGGGTTTTGAATATGCAGAATTCAAAAATGCAACAGTGTTGTCAGATTTACCAATTTTACTTAACATCTCAGAATTTTGAAGGTCTTTAAACATAGGAAATTTTTGGAAGTGTATCAGTCAAGGGTTTCAAGAATTATAAATATCATTTCCTTAAAAGTAAACAAAGATTACTTTTAGTAAATACTGGCGTTTCAAACTTACATTGTTTAAAAACGTATCACTAGCCGTTATCAAGTAAAAAACTTAGTTTTTAGACTTATAAATATTATCGAGAAATCTGACAACATTGCTGTTAGCATTATTGAGTTCTGTACGTGCAAAAACCCTCAGGTATTGAATTTAACCGTTCCAGCTTTGGCAGTTGTTGAGATATTTAAGTGTTTCGTTACTTTTTACTAAAAAACTTTAAGGAATCTTAAGGATTATGGAGTACCTAGTTCTTTTTTTTTAATTCAGAAAAATAATTTGAGTTATAAAAAATACAAAACAAACAAAAAAAAGTGAACACGCTGATGCACCCAATAAAAAACATCTATCAAAAATAAATTTAATAAAGAGTCTTTAGTGTAAAAACTATTTAAAATTTAATTTATTCCATGCTTAATTTAAATATGAACGAATCTAATAATTTAAATTTGATTCATAACAAAAAAATACCTTTCTGATATTTAGATTTTTTGTCTGTACAATTGTGAAATTTATAAAAAACCAAAAGGGTACATTCATCTCTCTCTCTCCCACCCTCTCGCTCTCTCTCCCACCCTCTCTCTCTCTCCCACCCTCCCGCTCTCTCTACATTTTTACATGAAAATTATCTTTGTTAGTACGGATTAGCATAAATAAATATTTAATTAATTAATAATTATTATCAGCGAGCGACAGGACGGTATAAAATGAATTTCAAATATATGGTCATAGTGAAAGCCAATAAAAGAATATTTCTTTTTAGTAAATATATTTATTATCATTCATCGATTTTATTAGCTGAGAATAATATTAATTGTATATTAGTGTTACATTGTTTTGCACTGTCTGGTACTATTATGTAGCTACTATATCTTGTTTTGTGTGTTTTCTTCTTTGGATTTTCACATATTTGATTAAATTATTTAAATTATTGTGTTTTTAGGAACAATTTATCCGATCGTTGACCAATCGTAAAGTATCCTATCCGAAATAAGGTCCAGTGACACATTGTATCATAATCCATATTTATTGAATATCATATTATTTGTAATAGGTATCAATAAGCTCATTCCATTATATTATATTACTTATTTGGATATACATATACTGTTACTGCTAGGATTAATAAATAAAAAAATTATAATAAATGGCAAACAGAAAAAACGAAACAATTAGTGACTTACAACTTGAGCCTTTTGGGTAGGGGAACACCTGCAGCAGACGACCGCTGGCGCCGCCGTCGCCAATTCCATGAACTCCTGCTGATAATAAAACAAGCACACTTCCAAACTTTCCCCGCTTATAACGAGGGCGCAGTCCTCCTTTCTTCTGTACGAATTCAATTCTAAATGTGCATCGGTACGGGTCACGACCTTTTTGAATATGTGTAATCCTAAAAAAAGTCACTGATATAATTGTGTTTGTGCCAAAGAACGATGGGATAAATAAAAGAACAGAACATGTCGGTGCCAACTGAAGCAATAAGAGCCAGGAGACCTAACAAAAATCTAATTTAAAATTTATTAATTGGTGTTAATATTTAAGTTTTGTCGACCTGTTTTAAATTATATATGAAGAAGTAGATCCTCTAGAATCTGTTTTGATAATATCTATACTCATTTGAACTCTGGATTTTATGACTAACAGAGCTGTTCGATTGCTTGGGTTTGTTTTTCGGACTTTTTGTGCGTTCAATTTTAGAGTATGCTAGCTGTGTCTGGCAACCACACTATGCAATTCACAAGGAAAAAATCGAGCGTTTGCAGCGTAAGTTCCTTAGGGTTTTAAATTGGGAATGTCATTTGAGGAAATAAACTACGAGGGGATTTTAAGAAGCTTTTGCATCTGACATCTTTGGAGAGTAGGCGCATATTTTTTGACATCGCTACATTGTACAAAATTCTTAATTACTTGCTGGATGCACCAGATCTTCTGACATATGTTGGTTTTCATATTTCTCCCATTAATGCAAGAAATAAGGCTCCTTTTAAAATCGGACCAACTATGGCGTTAACTCGCCTATGAATCGAATGTGCAAGCTGACAAATATTTTACTCTCAAATAACGAGCGTATTGATTTATTTTCTGACTCTCTCAGTGGTTTTAATTGTAAAGTAAAAAAGACTGTTTTTAATCAACCAACCGCCTTGTAAACTTTATAGTTTAGCAATTGTAAGTGTTGTTTGGATTAAGTATTATTACTCAATTGACATGTTTGGTATTATTTTTCTTATTTGTCTTAGGTTAAACTATATTGTAAATGCTAAATGCGTCAAGAAAATTTTAATTTAATTTAATTTAATTTAATACTCCTGTCAAAGCCGTTGTACAGTTACATATAGTGGTGGCCGAACATGGTTACCTTATGGGCAGGTCTGTTGAGACAGCAATATAAATAATAATAAAATGGAAAAATCGCAACGGGGAGCTTATGCAAAGCCTTAGATCAACAAATTTTAAAAAATGGTTAAAATGGTATATGTTGGAAGTCTTAATCACATTCGATGGGAGACAATATTCGTCAGAAAAGGGCAGACTTCACCCAGGATTGGTTTATAAGGAATAAATTGGTTCAGGCGGCACAACTTTCAAAAACAACATTTTTGGAAAATTATATTGGCCACAAAATAAACTGGTTAAAGCTCTTATCAAAATATCTAGCTTTGGAATTTCTAAAAACAGTTTATTATCCATACATTTATTCAGTGCTCTGATATCAACTGAAAAGGGTCCAACTTATTCGTGAATAAATATGGTAAGTTAAAGTCTGTTCATAGATATAAGAAAGTGACTAACTGATACGAATTAAGGAAAGACCCGGCAAGCTGTAAGAATGAAATATGGCCGAACAGGTCCATACTTTACTTAGAATTTCATTATTTAGGGTTTTGTTAGGAAAGATACTAAACAATATTTATTTATTTATGTATGTATTTATGTTGAAATCTAAAATAAAATTACAAATTATTTTTATTACCTACTTAAATTACTTAAAATTATTCACATAATATATCAGTATCACTATAGCTACCATCGCCTGTTCTAATTATTATTTGTTCTATATTATTTGCAATATGGATATACGATCGTTCTGCTTTTTCTATATGTTAAACAGAATTTGTCCAACTTTGTGGAGGGATGTTAAAAAAGTTTGAGGACATTAGAGTTAACATGGGGAAAAGCATTGTTACGACGAATGGCAGATTTCAGTTGGTGCCGAACATGTTCAATGGGATTAAATATACAGTAGTAAGGTGGAAGCCTTAAAACTGTATGCCCTAGATTTTTTGCATAATTATCACAGACATATTCCTTTTGTAGGTTCAAGCTTCGTAGAACCTCAATTAATTACTTTTTGATATAATCTTCGTGAAAATAAATGTCTTATTATACATGTAGTTTTGGATTGTTGCTTTTGTGTCACATGAGGAAGGGGTTTCATTCAACTGTATACTGTGATAACTTGCATTGTCCATTACAATGACGCTATTAGGAGGAATGTATGGAACTAGTTTATTTTTAAACCAACTTTCAAATAAATCAGTTGTGGTGTTTTCATAGTAATGCAGAGCAGAATCTTTAATATTTTTCGCAGACAGAGAAAGTCCATTTGGAATCCAACCATCTTTAGAGCCAGCATGCTTTTACCTCTTTTTGATGGCGCGTTTGTTTTACACTTATCAGTTGAGTCAACCCAACCCTTTTCCGGGTTATCATAAGTGTCGAACCAGGTTTCATCCAAGTAAATATTGGCCTTTGTTATTCTCTGTAAATCCTAGTTTTTTTCTAGATATTCCAGTTGCCATTTCCGAATTCTAAAAGATTCCATTAAAATTTGCCGTTTGTCAATTTTCTTATATCTAAAACCCATGTGTCGAGAATACACTTCCATAAGGTAGTTCTGCCACATTTAACACCGGTTCATCTTTTTCAAGCCTAATTAAGATAACTAATGTAGGCATGCTTTGTTCCTCGTATAACTGGTAAATTTTACGCCGTATTATATCTTCATCACTTTCATCTACACTCGAGAAAATGTCAGCATCGATTCTTTTTTTCCTCGCTGAAATGGGATTATTCACAATTTTCTATACAGTTGATGTTGGAATATTCGTTAATGTGGCCTTTTCTTCTAAAGATGCTTGCTTGCTGGCACCACGTTCAATGAGAGTCAAATAAACATTGTTTATAACTTCCTTATTCTCAATAGAATAGTGTTTTCTACATTTGGGCGGGAGCATCTCCTGAGATACACTAGACCCGCACATATTTTGCATAATTCGCACACGATTGAACACACGCTGTATTACACACGAAATAAGAATTACTTATAAACTTAAACTAAGTAGTATACCAAACCAAAGAATATTAAACACAGGTAGGTATAAAATTATTTTCTATTACGGACCACAATTTTACCTGAATTTAAATTCCGAAACTTTAGGTAATAATCTTGTTGCATTGCATGTTAATGACCACCCTTGGATAATCCCATTCAAAAGCAATTGGTCGCTTTCTTATATCTATGAACAGACCATACCAATAGAAACAAAGAGAGAAAAAATCTTTAACACTTACAAAAACAAAATAAAAACAATTTTATTAGATCGAGAACCTTATTCAGTTCTAGAGTTCTTATACTGTAGATTTTAAATAAATATGGTCTTTGTAATTCACTTTTTTGTTCTTATCTTTGTGATTTTATATATGTTATTTTTTTTTTCTGGTTTTGAGCTTAAAAGCAACAATGCTTTGACTTTGGATTTTTTATTCTATTATATTGATATCGAGATGTGTTCTAAGACTGAAATATAAAATGGGCAAATTTAAATTGTGTTTAGAACCTATGGATGGATCATATTACAATTTTTTTGTGCGACGCTTACTTTGTTCAGTTGTGACACTGGTTCGTTTGCAATTTTTTAAATAAAAGATCAATTGATTTTGTCTCTGAATTTGATTTACTTTTCTTACTTGATACTTTTTATTTTCTTTACCAACCTTGAGTGTTGGACACCAGTCGAGAACTTTTCGCTATACACGTAGCCGTTTCAAGTTTGTCACCGGTTAACATCCAGATCTTTATGCCCGCATTCCTTAGCAGTTCCAGAGTGGCCCGGACGTTATCCTGTAATTTGTCCTCCACCCCCGTTATGCACAACAATTCCATTTCCCTTTCCAGAGATTCCACAACTTGGGCCACCCGCGAAGCTCTGTCCACAGTTGACAGAGCGGCCGCATCGTACCGATTCTGAAATACATTAAGAGGATTACAAGGACATTACAAATTATAAATTATAAAATGAGTTGTGTCTTTTAAAACGGATTTACAAAAAAACTTTTAAAAAAATCATCAATTATTTCAAAGAAACTATGGTCCATATGAAAATATGCATATTCATACTAGAAAATGAGAAACTCTGCGGATTGTAGCTCATAGCTTTAATTTTTTTTAAATTCTTAACACTCAAATGCTTTTATAGTTTCAATTTCGATTTGTACCGCTTTTCATTTGTTATTTTGATTGGAATTGGGAGGTTTGGATATCTTTCCAGACCACGAAGGAAAATAAACTAAAAAACTAATGCTAACCTCAAAATCCAAATACTGTTCCTCTGTTAAAATTTTTTTCGCCACCACCAAGGTTCGCAGCCCGTCCCTCGCCATATTTACCACCTCCTCCTCCAACCAATCAGTGTACTGAACTATGGCAGACATTACCACGTCCGCCCCTTTCAAATAGAAAAATATTTCACCGGTTTGCAAGTCCTGAAAAGAAAATTTTTCACTCCACGCCCGACACTTTTACCCGTCTCACCTTGACAATAATGCCCATCCGTTTGGTCTCGCTTCTAAACGGGAAAACTTTCAAAATGGCATAGTTTAATATTCTACCATCGGGTGCCTTCAGTTGCATCGAATTGAGGTCCCTGCGGAACAGAGCGAGACCCACCTCCTGGGTCCACTGGACCAAAGCCACTTCGTCGGGACTGGAGGCTTGATAAGCCACCTCCACGTTGGACGATGGGAAATGTTGGTCGGCCTCGGCTTCCGATGCCATAGAACCTGCAATAAGTCAAGCGATTATTATTTCGATCGTAATGACGGGTAAAGTAGTACCGGTATCAGAAGTGTCGGTACTTTCGTACACTGGCGTCACGTTATGACAGAGAGCTAGAGCTTGGACGGCGTCTTTGATTCTCGTCGTCTCTGACCGTCTGAATTTGGCCGGGATTTTATTCGAAGCATCGGCATTTGCAAAATTCATCTTCAAGCATGAACTAACCTAAAAACAGAGAACGCACCGAGTTTTATGGATTTAGACAAATGCACACTCAAGTTTTAACATACTGGCAGGAGCACTTCGACATTTAAGACAATTAACACTCTTACCTCATCAAAACTATCTGCTGCGTAACTGACAGTACCCAAATGCAGCCTTTTAAGAACCATCGAGTTCTGGGTAAGTGTGCCAGTCTTGTCCGAAAGCAAATAAGATATTCTACCCAGCTCTTCTGGAATCGTTGTGCAGCGGACCGCGGTTCCCTTCATTGCGGGATCCTTACCGATAGCCCATGAGTAAAATGATTTGCCCATATCCAGATTCACTCGAAGACTGAAATGAAAGCAATCAATTGATTAACGAAATGTTAACGTTCGTTAGTAAATCTCACCTAATAGGGATGATATACGAAAACAACAGAATAAACCTGAAAAGGTATCGGTACCAAGGACCACTGAAACCTTTCAGTACCATCATAAGCAATGCTAGCGCTATAACTGCAACAAATAGTAATTTTGTGATTGTGTTTACTTCGATATCCAAGAGGCCGACTTTGGAGCGAGGAGCCGAATTATTCATAACCGATCTTGTTTCTGGTCCTACAAGACATGAACTATGAGAAATCTGGATAATGGGTATTATAATAGCCTACCGGTATAAATCACAACACCAGTTGCCTGGCCCGATGCTATGACGCAATTTGTCCAGAGAGTGTTGGCTAGGTCTAAGCTTTCGTCACTGTTTACTGAATCAAGCTATTAAAAAATGTCAGTATTTTAATAAATAGAACACCCTATGATTGCAAAGCAATATTTTAAAAGTGATATTCTATATAATCAAAAAATGGTAATTTGTCAAAAAAAACACAATAAAAATAATATTGAGCATATAAGTTAATAATAATTCTATATTATCAAGTCACATTGAACAAATAGAATTAAAGACTTGCCCATTGAAAATAAAAACGTTCTAATAAAAAAAAATTCATACAGTGAAAGAACTCTTAAACCGTGAGATAAAGTATATTGATTTTTGAATCATCACACTTTGACCTACTTATGTATTTTATGCAGTAAAGTAAAATTAGGATAGAATAGAGGGTATTAAGAAAAATTACAATAAAATACTTTATTGAACTGAGGTGGCTTTTACTTGATGAAAATCCATTTATCAAAATAAATAAGAACTAAAAGTTCAGATTTTCACGAAATTATATATTATGACATGACAATTGTTTCGACAACACCATGTCGACAATTTTGATATATTACACACAGCCACAAAAAGTAGAAAATTAAATTTATTGGAAGCCATGGAGATTAACAAAATGAGACATTCAAATGTATTGCTTAACGATCAATTAGATTTAAATATCTCTCCTTTATTGAACTTAAATTCTCGCCAGAACATTAATTAAGGTTTTATGGTCATTTTTCGGTATATATAGTAACAGGTAGTTTGTAAATATTACATTTGATAAAGACACGGTGTTGTCAAAACAATTGTCATGTCATAATATATAATTTCGTGAAAATCTGAACTTTTAGTTCTTATTTATTTTGAAAATACTTTATATTTGCAGACACAAGCTTTACCTCAGTTTACTCTACTTAACTATAATCCAACAATAAAAGACAAAAAATTGTTAAATGATTGTCAACAGTTAATCTTCAAAGCTACTGTTTTAGGTTACATACCCTACTAAATGTTCCAATAAATGAGTGAATATCCTTCTGAGGCTTCTCTGCGTAAATACTAGCACTTATTTCGAAAAGCTGATGGTCTTGGGCCAACTTTTGGGTAGCCGGAACAGCCAACCTCAACTTCCAGTCCGTCTCTCCATCCAGCTGATCAGTTCTTACAAAAACAGAGCCGCTACTTTCCGAGGTACGAAGCAAAATCAAATCAGCCGGCACCCTTTCATCTTTGTCGACTATTATTAAATCACCAACCTTAAAAAAGTATGTATATACTAAGATTTTAAAATAATTTAATTTAAAACCTTCAACTTGTGTGCAGCCACTATTTCATATGGCTTATTCCTATCATTTAGTAGTCTTTTGCATTTTTGGTTATTGACTTCTTGATCTCTTTTATGTCTCCTTAAATCATCAATTGCCTCTCGACAAAGAGTAACCAGGAGCACAAAACACTAAAATAAAATCTATTGAGAAATAATCAAACTGTATTGAAGCACATACCAAAGGACCCCAATAAGTGTAAAGATATCCAATACGAATATCAGGTACAAACTGACTGGTAGCCATTATAAGAAAATAGAGATTTAGGAAAAATTTGAATTGCTGAAACAAGACCTTGGGCAAGAACGTGAAAATATTGTACTTTTGGTTTCTTATAGCATTAGCGGGAAATTGTCCTGGCATCAGTTTCCCTAGATTTATAGTTCTGGAACGCAGCTCTTTTGGGCCACAGCATTTCCGGAACAGAGTGCCCCAACAACTGGAATTTTAAGAACATTGAAATTTACCCTTTTTATTTCTTTTTTGTTTTTGGATGATTCGCCTTCCATGAATCACATTTTTACCTCAGCAAAACTGATTCTTTGTGCGTCTTGGTGATAAGAGGAATATCCTCTTTGGAGATCTTAGTAATCGTACTTTGCGATTCTATATTATCCATTTTTAAGCCCTAAACATTTACATCATCCAAATTCAAGAATATACAGCATAAAATTTTAACGAATTGATTCCAAAAAGCTCAAAAACACACAAAACAGATAAGGTAAACAAATTTCAGTTGACGTATTGACATTCCCCAAATTGACAGAATCAGGGGGTTTTGGTAACTTTTTGGTGGTACTTTTTACTACCAACTATGTCGATGTAAATAAATTTCAGTATATTTTATTTTTAGATTCCTAAAAGTGAATAAATAACGCCAAATTTTACTAACGGAATTCAAAGTTTCCCAGATCTCAATTTAAAGTTACCAATGTCTTTGCGTTCAACTATTTTTAACAAATAAGGTTAATTTGAAAGCGAATTGCTTGCAAAATATAACAATTAGGTGAATTTATTTAACCTCTTCCAATTTGTAGCAAATAGTTTTATGCTCTTGCAAAATATTTACGCAAATTTTGTTAAATTTGTAAGTATGCACTACTTTTTGTGATTTTTAAATGGGATATCTTAGAATTGAAAAATGCTTACTAAATGCTTTGCTCTAACAAGATTTGCCTTAGACTAATAACTTAATCATAAAAGTAAAAAGAAAGCTGTCAGCCCTATTTGTATCTAGTGCATACCTGCAGAGAAATTGTCCAATTGTTCGATGTCGTTTCGGATTTCGATTGTTTTTAGCCGTATGGACGTCCATTTCATTCCCATAACTAACTGACCCTAGCAAAAAATCTGTTTCATCGCTTACATCAAAGTTCTGTAAAGGATATTCCATCCCAAGCTAACAATCCAATCACATTTTAAACTTTTGGACATCCAACCTTTTTATAATTGTGGATGTACAACCCAACAAAGCACATACATTAGGACGTAATATTTTTCATCTAGTAGAACGAATTGCCGCTTCAAATTCTTGTTTTAATTTACGTTTCCAAATTTGTACATAAAAAATTCAAAAATAAATCTATGAATTCTTCAAATACCAAAAGTCACAGATCACAGATAAATTATTTAGGTTAGTTCCGATTGATCAGGCATAAAAATTTTTGGTGCTGGGCGTAGAAAAAAGTTGGTTAGTCACCCAGCGTCTATGCAATCAGTAATACAGTTAAGTTTCTCTTACGAGGCGAGTTATTATTTATGCTATTTTTAAAAGGAATTTGAAAATTCTTGTTAAATTAAAATGGTAAATAGGTAAAAATAAATAAAACGAAGTTCAAAATAAAATTTATTTCTCACGAACATGATTACAAAACCAAAACCACCCATTAATAATAGTGATAACCTAAATAAATATAATAAAAACCGCACTTAACAAATGGTGCCGAAAGTAACAAACAATTGCTAATATTTTAACAACATAATTAAATATATGTACGAATTTATATTCTGGAAAAGGTTTTTCTAAATTTTAATATATTATAAAATCTCAACATAAAAAAAAATAATTACATTCTTAAGCATATAATTGCGAAAAAGGTCAGTCGACATTAAATCCATTTGCAGCGATTGTAATTTAGAAAAAATTTAAAGGACACATAAGTGTAACACCAAAAATCTATAAAAATTGCGAGTTTCGAGGTAAACAACAATTAAATAGCTCCACTACATGGAATCTTAATTTACAAGGTTTCCAGTTTTGGAGTGTTTTCTTACCAAATTGAAGAGGTGGCATATTTTTTTAGAAAATCAATAAAATTTCTATGGTTGCTAGATTCTTAGCTACCATAGAACACAAATGAAAACTGGAGACATTGTAACAGTGGCAGAAAAGATAAATAATTTGCATTTAGAAATGAAGAATATAGATGAAGTTGTTTTCTTATTGATGACAACTACTAAATTTGATTATTATTATTTTTGAAGACAACATGATAAGACAACACACTTCGGCTCACTTTTACTAGCATGGAGTCAAAACTTTTTATTGACATTTTTTTGTTATATTCTTTCTAATACTGAAATAAAATCAGGAAATTTTGTATATTATGACCACTTTTCTGAAAGCTTCAGTGTAGATCGTAGGCACAGCTTACATATATCAGATAAAATACTTAAAACAAAACAATTTTAATCTCGCTTACTACATAGACATAACGTAAATTAAAATTACAAACACAAAACACAACGAACGTTTACTTAAAATTGTGGAAGTCAAAAGCGCGATACATGCGCGACCGGTTTTTTAATGTATTATCATTTTAATTAACACGCCAGGTGTGCGCTTTCGACTTCGATTTCAATTTGCGAATTCGAATCTTGTAATATACAATCACAATGCTGGTTACTTCCGAAGAAAAAAAATCCTGTAAAGACCACAGATAAAAATAAGGTATGTATAGAACTTGACAGAAGCAATACCAACTTTTAAATTTAAAATACTGGGATTACTTATATTCATAAATGTTCTGTTCTCTATGAACGTTGAATAACATTTCATTATCATAGAAAATTGTGAAATGGTTATCTCGTAGTTCACGTCCACGTTCCAAGTGATGCCAAAGCTCTTAGAAAAAGACTGCACTTACTAAGTAGGAGGCCTCCATATCAGAAATGTTGAAAAGTTAAAATTGTAATTATATTTATAACAAACTAACGAAAAGCATGGGCACTGGCAGCAGTCTTTTTGAATATTTAATGATACACTTTGTGTGATACGTAACCTATGGGATCACCTTGTGAATATATTATAATGGTTCAGACGAAATTGTGAAATGCAAATGCACTTTACACTAACCTTTTATATCAAAATATACGGGAAAGTTTCAAACCTTTGCAGCTACGAACGTTTCCAAGATCAAGAATTTTTTAAAACAACAAAAATATTTGACTGAGGGACACCACTGCCCTAACGCTGCAAAGGGTTGAACTGTTCTGTTTAATATATATTTGAGAAGCGTGTTATATAATGCCAACAGTATTTAAACGTGTTACTGATATCGGAAAAAAATTATCAACGTGGTTTACAATGCACGTTCTCTAATTTAGATCATGATAAAAACCTCTATTACTAGTAATCATTCGGTGTCCACATTCCCAAAAAAGTTAAAACGACCGGGAGAACTGGTTAAACATATGGAAGCCCCCGTCGATTTTTGAGAATGCGACATACCTCGACTTTTCCTAAAACTTTTTGTTTCTTGCCGATTTTGTCAACGCCGTTTGCGTTCTGATATCGGCCCGTTGATAAGTCGGTCGTTTGGTGTCACGGATCCGGTGCCAAAACACATCAAAACCGCAATCAACGTTATTTATATAATATATATTTTATTCTCTTCTATAGCACTGGTCCGGCCAGTGCCGTGGTACAAATTAATGTCAAAGACCGTCGCTGCAGCATTTGAGCGTTATTTAAATATTATATGCATGCTTTTATAACAATGTGTCCGTTTAACATCACAGATAGTTACTTAGTAAGATGGCAACATAACCTTACAATCACACCAGTTCCGGCCCGAAGGTTGTCGCGGACAAAATACACGCCGGAACCGCAGGCCCTTTGTCCTCCGTTTAAAAAACCCTTTTACTTGGACTAGTTTACAATAACGGATATAAAAGTTTGTTAATGATCACTTGATTCAGGTACTTGATCTTACGACATTTTCAATATATATTATTTTATTTCGGATCGTTCGCGAAAATATCCCTAAATACAGTCTCGATATTATTAAATGCTCATCATATATCCGGTCATCGTTCGAAACGACCAGTTTATGCTTATTCTATCACAGTATTGCGTAGGTTTTACGGATTCGTTTGTTTTGCGTAAACGCAACTTTCCGTGGCAACTTTTAACTGAATGTTGTCAAAGTGCAAGTAGGCGTACCAACGTTTGCCTTCTACCACCATAACGAACCAGATCCTACCGTATCGACTATTAATTATCATATAGGTACTAATTATATAGGAGCCCTGTTTGTGCTAATAATAGAGACACACCATAATAAATTTAGACAAGGGGCATTCTACATGAGCATGCGCGGTCATTTCAAATCTCGTTTTCAACCAATAAGACCTGAGATTTCAAACGAACTAATACGATCTTGCGACGGTCCACATTCACCATGGCCGCCGGGGCAAAATATGGTCCGATCTCATCCAATTTTCAGAATAAAAACTAGGTCAGAAAATCGCTGCTTAGAAAGGAAAAGGTGCAATGTACAAGTTAGTCGGGGAACATCATTCCCGTATCCATAGCCGTCTCAGAAGTATCACTTTTACGTCACGGAAAGCTGCGTCCGCAAGGTAAAGCATAATCGATTTGTTCCCTTTGTTATTACGGCGGGTAAGGAATATCTTATTTATTTATTGGAATGGCTACTACTTCGCATTAGGAACAGTGAAACGTTACAATTTACATAGTTCGGTCGTGTCTTTTGTCTAAATATGTTCGACACGGACCGTAAGAATATCTGGCAACGTTGCGCGCGTCACCGATTCGGTCGTCTCAACTTACAGAATTTAAACGTTTACACGATCGAAACCCACGGTCCAGGTTTTACGCAAAAAATCATACGAAAATACCGCTTACCAAAATACTTTGGACAGAAATTAAAATATCACAATACGGAACAAAATCGGAAAGTTTAGTTAAATATATGTACACGTTGTAGCTGAAAGATGGATTCACGCGATTCACAAATCGACCAACAATGAACGTTAAAAAGTGAGTCGACTTTTAATTTTTTGCTAATTCTTTTCGGAGGACATTTAAGGGCGTGTGCGTCAAGCTAGGAAATTTTTCTTCTTGCTTTTAATGGGCACGTCTAACGCAAGGAAGTTTCAAGACGGCCCCTACAGCAGCGCCGCTGTGGAGATATTTGGAGACCATTTTGTTTTGTTGAATAATTTGGAATTGTCAACGAGTAGTAGTCTATGCGTGTTTGATTTTCTCCGAAATAAATACGAAGTGATTTGGTTTAGTTTTTATGGCAAAAAGACATTACATACAAATATTCATTGTATATAGTTGTATGTTATTCTGAACCAAAATGTATTCTCCAGGCTCAAAGATAAAAATGTTTGTGATACATTTTTTAGTAGACAGTCGCCTTAATAAAAAATAAATAATCCTTATGTCCTAATTGTTACGGTTTAATAGGTAACTATTTAAATCTTCGAGATCATTTAATTCAAGCGCATGAATTACATATATTTAAAAAAAACAAATTATTTGTGTTGTTCCATAGCACAATTTTAGATAAAAAATATCATTAAGTTTTGTTTTTTTTTTTAAATGAATTTTATACTTTAGAATTTCAAGAATGGAAAGAATTTAAAGAAAGGATTATGTGAAAACCAGTGACAAAAAATATAGTGGATTAAAAAAAAATGTTTGTCATTGATTTGTAAAACCAAGAAGGTACACACCCACTTGTCAAAAGGTTCTCGGAGCTTAAAAAGGTGTGTCAACAAAAATATCAATTCCATTTAGCCCTCAGAACGACACGACATAATGATTATTATAGTTAGGATACTAATCATTTTGGATTTTGAAAGCCTACCTCAATAATCCACAAATAATAACAAAATGAGAACATAAAACATGCTCACTGTAAACACAGCTCTCAACATAACCTATATACAAAGTTCCTTTAACGGCCGTTAAGTGCGCCACTATAGGAACCGTTCCTTCCGCGATAGCCTTGTAAGAAACGTTTGTTGGGTTTTCTAAAAAAAAAAAGAAGAATAACCTCGAAATTGCTTGCCGCCGCTCAACTTTCAAGTCTCAATTATTGAAAAGTACAAATTGGAGTATTAACTCACTCGATAAATAAATCGTGGTCAAATATCCTCAGGTTGGGGCATCACATTGAAATTACGACTAACATCAAAAATTTCCTCACGGGAAATTAATCGGCTGGCGCTGAATTTATAATGCGAATGATCGCGTGAATCCACCAACAAACTGGTCTCTCGCTTAGCTGCTCGATCCGATTTTATTATTGCAACTTAAGATAATTCTCATCCTTCGCAGGTACTTATGGTAAGTAGTTTGGCAATAAACCTCCGACTTTGTAAAGACCTTCACTAAAATAACGCATTTCTCATCACAGATGGTTCGATTCCTAACCCTACATTCCCGGTAAGCGCTTTTCTTCCGCTTCCAAGCGACAAGACCGAGCGCTTGTGCGCGATCACGAACTCATAACCTATAAAATTGGCAGCTGGATCCTTTTCACAAAATAACTGCTACTTATAATAGCATATCATTGGTAACAAATAGCATGGGGAGTTTTTCTTTTATTAAATCAATGGAATCAATCAAATTCTTAAATTTCCAAATGAATTTACAATGCTTTCAATGTTTTTTTTATTGAAATACCGTAAACCGTAACTCGGTGTTTTGTTTTTACGAAAGAAGCCATATTTGCTGTTTCACGTGCATTATAGCAAGGTTAATTGCCGGGTGAACTCTTCCCAACAATTTTGTGTCGAAAAATTTGGTGTCTGATGCAGTTTTCGTTTTATTTTTAACAGATAAGTATTGCTAAGTTTGCATTGCTTTTGTTTTCCACCTAACGGAATTGTTTTAAAAACGTAAATAGAAATATGAACAGTTCTTACATCTTCCTCCGCAAAATTTAACAATTTTGAGGATAGTTTTTCCCGGGGTAAAGCAACCTCCAAACATGTTCTTGAGGTTAGAGGAAAGTCACCAATATGGGATAGTATCTACCCCAATATGGAATACTTTAATTCACACCATGTCACGCAAAAAAAAAGGTAAGTAATAAATGAATATTACCAGTTATTACGTATGTTTAAATAAGTGTTATACTATTTACTATATCGATATTATATTTTTCTACTTCCGTCTGTAAAATACCTAATTACGCACCGACCTAGCGTGCGGGAAGCGTCGCTTTACCACGTCAGTTTCGTTTCCAACGAATCCGAGCCACTTCGGGCATTTCCGGGATTTACCGCACGGGTTTGAGAGCAATCGGATATTTTTGGAGATATTTCCCACGCTTTGAATTTTGACGTTTGACAATTCTGACAGTTATGTCAGTGAATGTATTTGTGTTTTGCGAAAATGTACCCAAAAACTAACTGTCGCAGAATAAGTGTAGTATGCAACACGTTCGGTAAACTTTTTAACTCACTCGTTTATTAAACACTCGCTCCGCTCGTGTCAAATAAACTCGTGAGTCAAATGTCGTTTACCGCACTTGTTGCATAATACACTATTATTTCAACATTTTGTGATGTCATTAAAATAATTTGACTTTTTAATGCTGGTAACACCGAACTACACGTCTGTCAGTTGCCAATTTACGTCAATGTCAGTGTCAAACAGAATAAAATTTGTCGGTTACTTTACGGAAACGAAACCAAACATTTTTATTTTTTATGGTAGACGGATTACTGAAAACGTAAGTATTATTTTAGAGTTTTGACTATTTCATAGTGTTGTGTATATTATAGCAAGTGTATTACCAATATAAGTTAACTAAATACAAGTTTCTGAAGGATGGTATTGGGGCAGATTTTAAAAAAATCTGTCTGGCAGTTATGAATAAAATGTTCAATAGTGCCCCCCGCTATTTGAACAAATAATGTTTATTTATTTTTTAAAATAATTGATAATTATAATTAAATAAGTTCATTTTATATTATTTTACAGTTGTGAATCACAATGGTAAGAAATTACAAAAAGAAAACGACGAGACAGCTTTATTGTGTGGTGTCAACGATAGCATGAAACTGAGGACCGCTGCTGTTTATATATATATATATATATATATATATATATATATATATATATATATATATATATATATATATATATATATATATATATATATATATATATATATATATATATATATATATATATATATTGTACTATAGAGTAAAGAAATATAAAGAGAATGTAATGAGTAATGAGACATACTGTGAGTCAAGTTTGCTGGAAAGGTACTTATTAAAAATGTCCAAAATGAATTATGGTCTTATCTACTTACAAGGTCGAAAATTGGCATATCAATGTAGCAGGGTTAAATAAATGTCCTGAAAAATGGTTAGATAACAAGAGTGTGGGCATTGAATGGATGAAAAACTTTATGAAAAGGCACCCAGTATTATCTTTGCGAAAATCTGAAAACACCAGTCTTTCCAGATCAACCAGCTTCAATAAGCATAATGTCATGATGAAACGCAAGCCTGCAATTCTGCCTTTAGCAAAATGAGAACAATGTATGCCTCAGAACAATATGTATAAAAAGAAAAAACCATTGCCAAAATATCAGTTAAACTCAGAATCTGACGGAAATATATCTTTTCACGATGATTCTGATATGGATTTAACAGATGGTCAAAATAATTCTGAGTCTGATAATCTAGTTGATGAAAGCGAATCAATTTAATCCTTGAGAAATGAGAAATTATATGAAAATGACTATATATTGGTAAAGTGTCACTCTGCCAAAAAAGAATCACAAATGTATTTATTTCTTTGCCAGGGACACATTTGAACAAAAATGTGTTTTTGAAAAATAATAATATTTTTAGTTATAAGTAAAAACAAGTAAATTTAATTTTTATTTTGTAGCACAAATAGCATATCTATTCATAAGAAAAATTATATACCTTGATATGTAGCACAATGTGAGAAATATAATATTTTATTTAAAAAGTGTTCAACAGTGCCTCCCTCTCCCCTATGTTATCTTTGTTTTTAACATGTCGGCTTCACAATCAACCAAGAAACGAAAAACCTGGGATAAAGAAAAAATGGCAGAAGCTGTAAAATTCGTCCGGTGAAAGAAAATGGGATATTTGAAAGCGGTCCAGCATTGTCAAGTGCCTAGGCAACTTTATTTCGTCTATGCCAAAAATCTGTCTCAAATGAACTGTCAGCTAGTAGAATACATATTAATGATGGAGAGCAAGGTTCACGGTTTATGTCGTAGACACTAGCTAATCGGAACAACTTACAGAATCCCTTCGGTGAATCAGGTATGGCTGGGAAAAGTCGATAAAGTTATTTTTAAATCTGGTACATCTTTTGCCAGAGCATTTGGATTTGATAAAGAAAAAGTGGCTGCTTTTTTCAACTTCCCTGAAAAGCTTTACACTAAAAATAACTATCCACCAAATCACAATAGCACAAAGTAAGATACCACAAATCATTGGTCACAAAAGTAAATGCCAGATAGCTGCACTGACATCAGCAGAATGAGGACCTCTCTCAGAAAAAATGAGTGAGAAGCTATCCACCAGGATCAGTCGGAGTTGCACATCCATCAGGATTTAAATGAACATCTTTTCAGACTGGTTCAAGCACTTCAATCAACATACCAACCCGACTCCTGAATCAAGGATATTTTTTCTTATTGAAATTATGATTTATGCTTATATTCCATGTATGAGTACCTATTCCATATTTGGTTACTCATTTGTGATTTTGGTTCTTGTTTTAGATTTAAATTTTAATTAAATGAGAGTTCTTGCATCAAAGAAAATTTAATATCAGGTTTTCGCAAGTGCGGAATATTTCCTTTGAACATTGATGAAGTTTTAACCCGCATACCTAGAAGTTCAGACAATAGAGATGATGTTGAGTTTTCTTCACAATACAATACAAACATTTGCAGAAAAAAATGAACATACCGCCTGAGAAGTGTGTAGGAACAAATGGAAGAGCCTACGACAACAAAGGACGCTGAACAGCTTCTCTTACAACCATCTACTTCTACGCTTGATTTCAATGATAATTCTTCAGATAACGTTAACTTCGATGAGGTTGAAAAAGTGCAGGAAAAAGAAAAAGAGTTCATAGATTGGATACAGGCGAAATATCCTCAAACAAATGAACTCCATTTTGATGAGGTTGTAAGAGAGGTGTTGTATTCTCTTATGAAGGACAGTTCTACCCTTGGCAAATTGCTTCCTTTGACAATGAGATTATAATAAATTCAATGGAGAAATCCCTAAAAATGTGCAAAATGGCCCTTAAAGAAGGATCAATTGACATATCCTTGGTGTGATGTTTGATTAAACCACCTCAACAAGTTACAAAAGAGGCATCTTCTCTGTCCCTGAGCTAGCACGGTAGTAGTACAGTGACTAAATGTTAGGTGTACATTTTTTAGCAGATACACTATTTTCCATATAGCTACTACATATATACTCATTTATTTAAGTACTTATACATGTATTTTATTTTACTTTTGTATTCGTTACAATACTTGCAGTTATTTTTTTTTTGCAATAAAAAATAAAATTAATTTTTTGTTTTCTTGTTTGATACCGACTGAGGAAAAGTATAAAAATATGCACATCCACTTTACTCCAACCAGCGATTAGCCAATATTTTTGTAGGTGGGGCAAGGCAACCTTTGGCTATGGGAGCCTCTTCCACTTTTCAAGTAAAATATTTTTAATACGTAGGGTCTAAGCAGAAACAAAAAGAAATTCCGATTTCATAATATTTTTTCAAATCTTGTTCCATAAAAGCGGAATAAAGAAATCCCGGTTTACGGTACTTAAAGATATAAACACCGTTCCTCTCGTTTAGAGGGCAATATTAATAGTTCCTCGAATCTGAAATTCCTAGAGGGCAGTGACAGTAGTTCAACTGACTCCCCAGAAGCATTAAGCTGCAAGGTGTGTAATTTGTGTGTGTGACCACAAAAAACTCCCCTATTAGTCCTTAATCGACAGATCGGCTTTACGGTTTACATTTTCCCGCGATAGATTCCATTGTCGGTAGGTTATAAGTTCGCGATATTCAATACTGAAGGAAACAGAAAATTCAAATAAACCAATGTCTGAAACAATGCAACATCATTGGCTAATGTGTTGTGTAAAAACAACTGCAAGCAAACTGCAGCGCCCAGTCGGTCGCAACGCGTTAATAACAAAACGAAACGCCCGTGCAAGACGTTTCTACTAAATAACAAAAAAAAAACAAAACAAAACAAAAATAGAAAAATAAATATAAGGCTTCGAAGTTTTCAAATTTGTCAAATGTACATGCGCGTGAAAAAGTCAGACGACAAAACTTGTTGAAGTTTCGTTTATTTTTTTGTCGGGTTTTAGACTTAACGTAAGTCGGCTAATACGTACGGCAACAAAAATTCGTCCGAATCGCCGGCCACCGGATCGAGGATGACCGGATGCAATTCCGAACGTTTCAGCGGCTTCCACGGCCTTTGCAAATTGGAAGAGATATCCTGGAATAAATAAACAAAAAGTCAAGCATAATTAAAAATGAGATTATTATCCGCCATTCAAGTTCGTTTCTAAGTGATAAAAAAGCATGTTTACTACTTAGATCTGTTGCTATTTAAGACGTGTAGAAAATCGGAACTTCGTTTAACCGACAACAAATAAATATAAGGCATAATTAAAAATGAGATTATCCGCCATTCACGTTCGTTTCTAGGTGATAAAGAAGTATGTTTACTATTTAAATGACAATAATAATAATAAAGAGCCTTTATTCGGTTTCGATGGAAATATCTTACAAAAATATATAACTGTGGGGCGGCATCCAACATAGTTGCTCTCATGCTACCCCCTAAAACGAGTATATGACACAATTTATAAAATAAAAATATAGCAAATAAATTATATAGACATTCATTCAAAATGGTAGACACTGCTAGAATGAATTCAAAAAAGAAATACATATATACAATTTGACAGTTACTAGTTTTATGATCGGTCTCTATTATGATAAAGTATTGTTTAAGTTTTTGTTTGAATGAAGTTAGCGAGGTGATTGATCTCAGTTGGAGAGGGAGTTTTCTTGTAAGCCTTGATAGCATTGTACGTAAAACTGCGCTGAAACTGTGCTGAAGTATGTTTGGGAACAGTAAACAGCCCCCTATGGCGAGTATTAACCGAATGAGTATCTGATCCACGAGTAAGTTTGTCAAAAAGATACGTCGGACGTTGGAGAGATATTACTTTTTTAACTAAGACTAAAAGCTGCGACTCAAAACGTTCATCTAATGTTAGGCAGCGAGAATCCTCTAGGCTAGTAGATATATGATCAAATTTACGAATATTGTATGAGAATTTGAGACAGGCATTCTGAAGACGCTTGTCCTTTTGAAGTAGGGCAGGCCAGTAAACTACCATACAGTATGAAATTGTGGAGAGAATTAAGGAATCGGTAAGTTTTAACTTAATTGCGGTGCCCAGAATATCTTTATTACAGTAGAGAATCCGAAGCTTGTAAAACGATTTCTGGATCAATGAAGCTACGTGACCTTGAAAACGCAGATTATTATCCAAATGCAGACCCAGATTTTTGCATTCGGCAACCGGCCGTAACAGAAGGTCATTTCAGTAAATTTTGGCAGCGTCTAGACTAATTATTTTTCCTTTATCTTTACCAAAAATTATGAGTTGCGTCTTATTTTCGTTAAATAACAGACCGTGCTTACTAGAAATATCACCGAGGGCACGGAGGTCACTGTTTATATTATTAACGGCGGTATTAATTTGAGAGTAATTAAAAGAAAGATATACTGAGTGTTGTCGGCGTACTGATGGGAGGAACAATGCTTAATAAATTTACAGAAGTCGGAGGTATAAAAGGAAAACAGCATCGGACCTAAAATACTATCCTGTGCTACACCTTTGGGAATATTTATATAATTGGAATAGCTGTTATTGAAGAAAATGTCGCTCGTCAATATATTCCTTCATTCAATCATATTTGGGCATCTGATTTTGCAATTTCCCTATCAATTATGTATGAGGAAATGCTTAAGATGGACTTAAACAGGGACCCTGATCGAGACGGGATTCCTCAATTTCAAAAATTGTAGTTTTGTTTTATCCCTCCCCCGTTACATTATTTTTAATAAATTACACTCCTCAGTTATTTGAAACCCATTTTCAAAACTGGAAATAAAGCAGACATCTGTAACTTAAGCTGTATTCCCAAACATTTCGGAAAGATAGTTCCTGATTATTTGAAGTCCATTTTGAGCACAATAATAATTTTCGAGTAGTTTTTTTTTTTTTTAAGAAGAGAACAGAATCGAATCTGGTTTTGGACGTGGGTGACATTTCCCAGTGGAGAACTGGCTACTTAACTGATAGATTTCAAGTTGTCAAGATAAATAATTTGTGTTCCTATAATTTTCCTAACCCATCTGCTGTACCCCATCTGACCTTGACACATTTGCTATGTGGTGATGGATCTGAACATAGCAAAGGGTCACTTCATATGCTGCACTAAAAACCACAACATAGCTGCGCTCAGCTATTGCATAAATAGCTCTCTATTGTCTCAGTCCTCAAACATCAGTAATCTTGTAGTAATAATTGACTCCCCTTTGCTAGTCCCGTAAATAGAATAGTTTTCAGAGCGCTAAGGATGGCTTCGTTTAGATGGAGATAGGTAGATATTTCTTTATTCCAAAAATTGTTACACATGTTAACAATAAATGAAATGACGTCAGGTACTTATTGCTAGAGCAATCGTAATTTTACATTATATTCTTAATGTTACATAAGGATTATTTACACGTTTAGAGAAGTTTTACACACATATATTCAGGACTCTTTTGAGTGATTCGCAAGAGATGTAAGGGATAGGTGTAATATTCTGATCTGATATTATAATTTTCTGTATTTAGTTCTTGGAATAAATGTTTATTTCTGTGAAGGAACATAATGCATTCAAATATGTATAGAGCATATAGTGTCAAAAGTCCCAAGGAACAATTAGGATTCATTTAGGAGCTTATAAAGACACTGGTAGCCAAACCGTCGGGCCTAAGCTACGCCATAGTTATTATAGCAAACTTTTGATTTTTCACCCTGTCCATTTTTGTAGATCTTAATAATTTCAGCACGTTGGCTCAGATATGACTATCCATTTTAGTTCCGAACCTCCTACGCCATATCCGTTCAATTTTGTTAATAGTATGTCTCTGTCTAAGCAATCATAGGCCTTGGATAGGTCTAAGAAAATTCCAACCGCTGCTTCCCCCTTTTCAAAGCAATTGTTGTTTGTAAAAATTGGTATATGTCATTTGCGTCGATTTTCACTTTAAAAACCCGTGTTGATTTGTATTTGTTTGAAGAACAACAGCACTTCACACTGCTATTAGAATACTATGCTGTTGCCTACTTAAACCTATATTACAATATTCCTCACTAGTCTGGAACCCTTCATTAATTATATAATTGATTGTCCCATATTGCTTTCTTCACTAATGCTCTCAGTTTGACCTAGAACTACCAGCTCATATCCTAATCACCTCGATTTTTTCGACCCCATCTTATATAGTTTTATGAGTCTCTTGAAGAGCCATGTGATATAGGATACAACCTATAGAAATTTATTTACTTATATATTGATGGTTTTGTTTTCGTTTTGTATTTAGGTTATAATGGAATAATTGAATGGTTTATTTTAGTTGATTAGTTGACATATTTTGTATCTGGGTAGGTCCGTTAATAAACAAATAAATAATAACAATGATGGATGATAATAAAAATAACTATCATTCACAAATGCCTTTGGTTAAGAAGTTAACTCATGCCGCAAAATTTTTAGGATATTTTAGATTTTTTGCCCATAAACGACACACCCTTTATATGATACAATCATTGTTCGAAGTAGAGATTATAGCCCTGGATTTTCTACGCGTCCTGGTTCAAGAATTTTTTGAAAATGGTAAATGGTTTTCGAGAAAATAAGTTTTTTCTGAAACCATGCAGTGCGCCGTAATAATCAATGACGTCATGGCGTCTTGACAGCCCCCGAAATAGTGATTTCAATATGGATTTTTTCAAATATCCCGAGCAGCGTATGTGATAGACGAAAACAGCAAATACAAAAATTGTAGCTCTTGATGCGGCCTATGACACCGATTAGCCATATTTTGTGCGATTTTTGATTTGTGGCTAATAATTTACTCTGTAAGAAAGCAATTTTCTAGGTTTTTTAGATTTTTGCCTATAATTTGAAAACCCTGTATATAATCGAAACAATGCCTGAAATAAATGTTATAGCACTGGATCTTCTGCGCCTGTCGGTTAAAAAATTTTGCCAATCGGATGAACGATTATGGAGGAAAACATATTTTTCTGGAAGCTAAAATTACCAAAATAAAAAAATTCAAATATATTTAAAAAATACTTGGTAATATTTGATTGCGCCCAATTTCTACAGTTTAAATGTGGACACGGACTTTTACTTCTCTGCTAAATTTGAAGTTCGTATTTAGCACGAAATATCGGGTACACCCTCTACAATTGGTGAAAACCTTAAATACAAAAGTTTTTGCTATCTACGCGGGCTATATCGCAATATAAAAGAAAGTGAGATCTGAATCACAGTCTTTCAGTTATAACCAATTTTCACCCATTTTTCAGTGTTTTTGAATTTGCGGCACACCCTGTATATTTTTGAAAAATTGTCAAAAATAGAAGTATATACAGCCGTATCTTCTGCTTCTTCTGGTTAATGAATTTTTTTGGTCTCGTAAACAGTTTTTGAAAAATGTTTTTTGTAGACTCTTGTACACGCGATTTTTTGATTTTTTAGAATACTTCCCGACCCCCCAGCCCCCCCATTTTCAATAGGTTCCGTCACGAGGCAAAGCTGCATATATGTGCCAAATATGAAGTAGATTGCTTTAAATTTCGGACACTTATCGTGCTTCATAGCAAGGTCCAAAAAACAGTCGAAAATCGCGAAAAAAAGATGGATACCGGAGATGGAGAAAAATGCAATACAATACAATAAAAGCGTCGGACAGTACATTAAATAATGTATGAGCTAAATATTCAAAATTTTTTTGGCCACTAGCTTTAAACTTGAATGCTGCCCTAATACATGTGTCTTTATGTATAGTTTTATATTGGTGGTTAATTTCAATTAATGTTATGTATAAATAATGTATAGAGAAAGACCCAGTCTACTATCTAATAGAGTAACACAGATTATACTGTAAGTGTATATATATAGGGTGTGTTCTCGAGAAAAACTCAAGATGTCTGAATCTTAAGACCAACTCCCTCAATTTTTCCAATGACTCCAAAAATATTTCTCAAATATCCTACAATCACTTTTATATAAAACCATTTTTTTCAATACCTGGCACATAGAAAACGTTTTTTTTTTTTTAAGCTAAGTTATGTTGCTTACATCTATGCAGTACACGTTGAGGGAATCGCTGAACAATATATCATCTTGGGGTATCTCAAGCCTCGTCAACTTTGGCCCCCTCAGCCGACCGATGGCCACCAAATTGTATTCGCAATATTTGTAGCCGTAAATAATAAGTTCTTCAAAGTGCAAACACTGCCACGACATTAAAATAAAAGGGTCCGGAATGTTCACAGAAGATTTCGAGCACTTCCAGCTGTAGTCACAATCGCTCAACGAATCTATCCAAATGACACTACGTAAAGTATTCGCATAAAATGTCGGTAAGGTACGGAGTACCTCCATATTCACCTGGAATAACTATATATATCACATAAGTTGAAACGCGGCAGGTTCGGAACTTACATTTTCACAGAAAAACACCTTCAAATGACTCAGGGGCATCTGCTCCTTTAGCACAGTCACGTGCAACTGGGCAATCTCTTTGTACGCATGAATCACTGACAAGCGTAACATGCACTGGGGATGCGCCCTTTTGAAATCTATCCAGGCTTCATTTGTTGAACCCGGATGGTTTTTCTGGACTGCATGCAAGTGAACCACCAATCTCGATAGCAGAGTCGCTTTTTCTAACTTATATAAAAACTCATCTGACAGATGGTCATAATCCACACTTAAAATCTGCAAAGTGTGAGACAGTGGTGGAGATTTTTGGACACAAAATATGAAAAATCAGGGCCCTAGGCTCTCAGGTTACATTTTTGAGCCAGGCTTCGATAAGAAAGACACACAATACAATAAAATTGTTATGAAATGATTAAATTCCCTAAATTTTACAAAAAAAATAAGTTCTATTAAAAATCCATCAGTCCATCATCCGGATTTTTTTTACAGTGGCAAGTGGATTTTTAATATCCGTTAAAAAACAACGAATACCTGCAGATTTCTAAATTGGGCCAAAAGCTCGAGATTGAAATAGCTCGGTTCATATTTTACTGGATCGTCTTTAACAGACGCTAGTCCAAGCAGAGTAACCTTAGAAGGTGTCAAATTCTTCAACAGAATTTCCATATTGTGTGCAAACTCCTCCACACACCCAATACTGAATTTATTTAGTCTAGGTAATACCATCGTCAAAAGGTTAACAATTTCAAATGTGTTGCTAACTTCCACTGAACTAAAACAATTACCAGCTTGTTTCAAACTGATTTAATTGAGTGTTACAACTTACTCCTCAATGTATTTCTGAGGTATTTCAAAACGACAATGGGTAGGCTCAAGTAAAAGATTCCTGAAATGGTTGTTCTCACTAAATGTCCTTAATAGTATGACAAATTGATTAAGACATGTCGGCGATAAGGAATTTAACGATACTGTTGCTTCTGACACTATTCGGCCAAGGGTTGCTATATAAAAGTTTACTTTGCTTACATTATGCTGTTCTAGATCAAATTTAGCTGAAGACCACCATCTGAAAAAATATGCAAACCTTATGGTGAAGGGATAAAATATCTAAAAATGCTGGGAAATAACATCATCATTGTACAAATTGAAATGCACACAAACAATTTATTTGCTGAACTTACTTTGGATGAAAAATTATTTGTCGCCAATTGTGACAAACGCTTGATGCGTTTTTACGATCTTCATAACTCAAGTATTCAAATATCTCATGGAGAACAATGCTTGGCAAATAAGCCCATTTCGAGTTTATCATAAATTCGTCAGAGGATTTAGATCGTTTGGCCTTAGAACATCCCCCATTACATCCAGAATTATCCATAACTGAAAATAAAGAAACACATTGCCGAAACTGGTGGAATGTTTTGTGGTACCTCCTTCGATTCATTTCAAATGTAATTAGCAGTCAAAACAGGTAATTTATGATTGCGAAATCTCGAATAATGGTAAAAAAACGCGTAAAAATGGGAACAAAATGCAAAAGAAATGCCAAAAGTTTTATTTGACAACTAGAATGAATTTCAAAGCATACTGACTAATATTTAACTTACCAAGTTATACTAGATACATTCCATCCAGACATACAAAAATCCTTTTTATGAAGGACAACAAACAAGAACACAAATGGAAAGTCTAGGAACTGCGCCACAATCAAAACATAACTGAAAAAAACACAAATCAGCTGTGACCTTATCCATAGTATAAGACTAGCCGTCTAATCATAGCATCACAATTTACCTTCCACCGGGGTTTTAAACATTCAATGCATTGTGTAAGCTGCAGAATTATTTGCCGCATTTGATTGAGATTGTGAACACAGCCGAAGATTTCACATTTTATGAACTATTTGAAAAAAATAACTCCCAATGTATCGCAATAAAATTCACCCAATTCCTTTTACAATAAATGACGATCTTGGAGATATGAAATTGCAGGTTCCAAAAATTAGTGGTGGTATAAAAGCTGCTACGACTGTTAGTATCACAATGGTTGTAAATAATTTTGGCAGTGTTTAATTTATTTTGATTTAATGAGTTCCGGAATATTCAATTGATATATTATTAGGACATCCACATTTGGTGCTTGACGTTACTTCGTTTTGGGAAGTATTTATCTTAAACATGGTTATTTGTATTAAATGAATTATGAAAAGTTTGCAAAAATCTCTAGGCGGGTATCTAGAATATTAAAAAATATATATTCTGGGTAAATATTCTTATTTAATTGAAAAAACCTCGCAATTTCTCTAGGAATATGGTGTGTAATTATTATGCAGTTTTATATTTTTCTACTTTAAAGAAATTTCAGTAAATGATCGGTAATTATTGCCAAACAATCCAACTTACTATGCCATTACGCTACTACTATAGTAACGAGAGTGAGTGAAAGGGAAGATGAGTTAGATGCGAGATTTGTATCATATGCGGTGTGAATAAAGTAAAGCGGGATGCAGCTACGACGCACGTTCCCTAAAAATACACCCGCAGCCGAAGCAAAAGAACTTTAAAATTAGTCGTTGATAGCGGCATAAATATGTAGACACAACACAGGACCACGCCATATTGAATTGAATCAGTCTGTTAATTTTGGCTCCGTGGGAAGAGGTATCTCGGGGTTTTGTTTTATTGTTCCGGAATTTTGAAAATGACAAAATTTCGTCGGCCGTCGTCGGACTATTTGACACAAACGAACGGCGAGTGCCAAATTGTGATATAAATCGGAAAATAGAGCGGCGGTGGTTGCCGTATTTTAGAAAATAAATTTTAATACACAAATGTGCCTGTATGTGTACACGGAGATAATCGATTTGTCAACGCGAGGTTTAGATTACAATTTTCGGTGCAGTAATTGAACCAAAGTGGAGGTGCGTTCGGCGATCAACGCGAATATCGTAACATGTCCAACGTTGTTATTTTTTCATGTTTACATCAACTTGATAGGCTGGTTATCGTTCCAATTAAGGGATTATCGATATTTGTATTTCTATCAAACAAATGAAAGGACAATCGGTCAAAAGAAGACACGTCTTCCGGTCGCCGCGAGCCGTTACCATTCGAACGTGTGTGTCGCTCCGGCTTGATTATTTTAATTGGCCGTATAGTGGGGTCTAATGAAATATTTACCTGAATATCGAAAACTATTAAGTTTTACACGCTCGGTGCGCATAAATTGTTCCCTCCGTGTCGTGTCAATTTTCCTCGATTTGCGCTGGATGAAGTGCGTTCGTTACTTTTAGTTAGTGGGAAAATTGTTATCGCTCAAGTTTTCTAATTACGCACAGTGTTATGGAAAATAATATGGAAGTAGATGAAGCCGTCGTCGACTTAAGCATTGGGTGAGTTTGTATATTATCGACGATCGCGGAAAAGATATTTTAAGGTTATGGCAGGGGTTATGTTCGGTATTTTTATAAAATATTGGTTTATCTGTTTCTTTCAAGAATCGCCGTAAATCGTAAATAAATGCGGCTTTTGTACGTGCCATTCCTTACGAACGATGCTAATAATTTGTATATAATTAATAGGTGACTCTATTCCACCTATTAATTATTATATGATGCTCAAATTGCACGTTACAATTGGGGGATACGACCACTAGCATTGGTGTCCAAAAATGGTGGTAAAAAATCGACAGCACTTAGAGATTATTATCACGAGGCTACCTACTTACTAATAATAATTATTAAATTCAAAATTATCAATTGCACGTCAGAATAATTTCAAGGCCGACAATTTCAGTTCGGATGATGTTATGCCGCGCAATTTTTGTACCAAATTAATTTTCTCGTTAACAATTCGCACTAATCTCATTCTCCACGCCATCTATTGCGACATACCTAGACCGAGCTAATAGTTCTTCGACTTGGTATTCGCGAATGCAATAAGGATCCCGTTTGCTTTGGCTGGATGTTGTGCTGTCTCACAAAGGTTATATAAGTATCCATTTTAGCGAATTATCTGTTGCGAATTTTGTTTTCTATTTAATCGATGAATTTTGACCCTCCATGTTATTTATAAAAAAATGTAATATCCAAAACGAGCATGTTAGCTATTAGTACACGTGTTGAATAATAATTATAAAAAAAAGTGATAACAAATTTTAAGTTTGTTCCTTCAAATGACATCCTTATCATTTGTTTGCAATCTTCAGAGATTGTTTATTTTAAAGGAGCGGAAGAGATTCTTTTCGATTCTAATGATGTTATGGGTTATCGAATAGAAAACTGCCTGTAGATAAAATGGAAAATGTGCATTTCCACAAATGAAATAACCCAAATAGTTAAAATAACTGTGGTTTGAAGGGCCATTAATAATTTTTGATTTTGTTAAAAGGTTTTTCGGGTACTCAAAATTATGATATCTACTTAATAATGGTGAATCGGGATTAATAAATAGACTTTTTTAAAGAGCTATTTTTTCCTTTATTATTCGATGGAGTACGATGTACGTGAAATCGTGTTACTAATCCCATTTACAGTAATCGAATGTGTTGCCTGTAGTTATTATAAGCGACATTGGAGTAGCTGATAAAATACGTTATCATTTAGCCATGAACTAGTAAATTTGCGGCTTTAATGTTGTGAGGTAGTTTAAGATTATCGGTTTAACTTGTTGCACAAATGTTTGCGCATATCCCATTATCATATACTTTGCAGGTATTTTATATTTGTGTTTGAGAATTTATGTCAAGCCGACCCAGAAGTTATTCCGGTTAAGTTGTAAGTGTGTTGCGTAATTTTAGAGAATGGTGAATTTTAAGACAGAAATATTCCGTATATGCGTGGGCCCGCAAGACCTTAACCGAGTTCAAGTTTTATTCTTATTTGTTCAAAATGATAAATAAATAAATAAATAAAATTTTCTTTTAATTATTTCAAAAACAGAATGGCTGATGCACGGGTTGCGCATAGCGATAACGAGGGTTGGGTTGATTTTGATCAAAATAAAAAAAAATGCAATTAAATTTTCAAAAGCATTTTTCTCGAAAGCGGTGTGTTCTAGCGAGGTGCAACAAGGGTAAACTCTGTTCATAGATATAAGAAAGTGACTGATACGAATTAAGGAAAGACCCGGGCAAGCTGTAAGAATGAAATATGGCCGAACAGGTCCGTACTTTGCTTGGAATTTAATTATTTGGAGTTTTGTTAGGAAAGACACTAAACAATGTTTATTTATTTATGTGTGTATTTATGTTTAAATCTAAAATAAAATTATTACCTACTTAAATTACTTAAAATTATTCACATAATATATCAGTATCACTATCGCTATCATCGCCTGTTCTAATAATTTTTTGTTCTATATTATTTGCAATATGGATATATGATTGTTCTGCTTTTTCTATATGTTTAACAGAATTTGCCCAATTTTGTGGAGTGATGTTAACAACTTCGGTTTCTATAAGTTTGAGGACATTGGAGTTAACACGGGGAAAAACATTGTTACGACCAATGGCAGATTTCAGTTGGTGCCAAACATGTTCAATGGGATTATATATACAGTGGTAAGGTGGAAGCCTTAAAACTGTATGCCCTAGATTTTTTGCATAATTATCACAGACGTATTCCTTTTGTAGGTTCAAGCTTTGTAGAACCTCAAATAATTGCTTTTTGGTATAACTTCGTGAAAATAAATGTCGTTATTATACATGTAGTTTCGGATTGTTGCTTTTGTGTCGCATGAGGAAGGGGTTTTAGTCAACTGTCTACTGTGATAACTTGCATCGTCCATTACCATGACGCCATTAGGAGGAATGTTTGGAACTAGTTTGTTTTTAAACCAACTTTCAAATAAATCAGCGGTGGTGTCTTCATGATAATCCAGAGAAGAATCTTTAATATTTTTCGCAGACAGAGAAAGTCCATTTGGTATCCCACCATCTTTAGAGCCAGCATGCAAAATAGTTATTCTTTTGCCTCTTTTTGATGGCGCGTTTATTTTACACTTATCAGTTGAGTAAACCCAACCCTTTTCCGGGGTATGATAAGTGTCGAAGCACTTTTCATCCAAGTAAATAATTGGCCTTTGTTGTTCTCTGTAAATCCTAATTTTTTCTAGATATTTTTAAAATAAATTATTTAACTAACGGCAACAGCTAGAAACCCAATATTTTAGAAATAACTTATGATTTCATCAAAATTCCACAGATTTCGCGCGTGATTCGTCTTTCGGTTCAGCTATTCTGAAGTTATCGACATATATCACATATTTATTTATTCCACGAAACAGAATCGAATTTATCCCACCTTTGAAACGATGTTTATAATTAAAGAATGCGATTATGCCCCCTGGCGGCCATTCTAGATATTTTAAAAATAATTTCCAGCCCCAAGATAGGGCCTAGTGCCCTTCGTAATTGACCATCCGGTACACCTAGAAACATAGAAAAACCGAGGGGCAAATAATCATCCAAAATTGATACACCATACGTCACACAAACATTTGATTTCATAGATCACACAAAGATTTCACCGGTTTCAGACGTCACGGATTCTACACCGTTTATGTGGACAATTTTATATTCTGTCATAATTAAAAAAAATATATAAAAAATACACTTTTTTTTTTTAAAGTGGGAAAGAGTGTTGTGATTACGCAGATTGCACAAAGATTACTTAACCGGTTTCAGACTTGACGGATTCTATGAAGATTTTTAAAAATACTTTTTAAATTAGCGGAAAATTTTTGTATTCCGTCGTAAATAAAAAAAACATTAAGTAAAAATGATGATATAAAAAATACACTTAAAACGTTTTTTCAAATCTTGGGAAAGAATGTTGTAAATTCCATGAAGTTTCAAAACGGACGTAAACATAATATTTTTGAAATGTTTTTCAAAATTAAGTTGTTGGTTCATAGAAAAGGGAATTTTTAACACATTTGGTTAGGAATTTCGATGGTAATTCTCATTTTTCTATTTATAAAAAAGTTACTGCCAAATAGAAAAAAAAAGGCAGAGAAAATATCTTTTATGACCTTACCTTGTGCCTTATATTTTATAACTTTAAAAATAAATGAAGGGAGCAGGATATCCTGGAATAATTTTCAATCAATATTAAGTCGTAAAAACTCAAAATTTTAAAAATAATTTATAATTTCATCAGGATTTTATTGATTTCACAGAGCTGGCGCGCTTTGTCGTAGTCTTAAGGCTCCTTCATGTTTTTTGGGCCTAGTTGATATTTTTCGTCCGGTCTCTCCAATACATTATCGTAAATCTGGTTTTGGTTAGTTTTGGTTATATTTCTTAACTACTTTCGATGTGGATCTAATGTATTGGGTTTTAATGTTCAATGAAATGAAAGGAAATTAAGTACGAATTTATCAGTTTTGCCTGTAAAGGGTTTTAATATACAAACGGATAATCCTGGTTTGTGAATCACTTAATGAACAAGTTTAAGTTGACGATAGAATAGGAGAATATCTTGAATATTTTTCTGATAGTTATGTTCATGACCACCATAGCATTTCCTTTTCTGTGTTCAGGCTTTGGAGTATCAAATGTTGGAGATTTGGATTTTAAAGGTTTTTTTGCGTTTTAAAATCGAATGTCATTATCTGTTTGAGACGACAGACTCGACATTTATAATGATTTCCTCTTTTGGGATAATCATTCACCACAGTGTTTGGTAGTTGGGAAGAGTTTGATGGTCTTATTAGTGTTGACGTTAGTCTTCCGAATTTTTGAATTTAATTCTGATTAACAATCCTACGCAGCAGAAGCAGCTAGTGTTTTAGTCAATTTAATACGAGTCAGGACTGAGAGTTTTAAGTATTTGTCTTCTTATAATTGTTAATAACAAATATAAAGTTTTCTTGAATATTTATACAAGAGCAAGGCGGGCCCCTTACGGCAAGGAGGTCCACTTCAATAATTAACCAAAATTTTTTTCGCTATTATAATTATAAATTCTGGTTATTTGTACATTTTTATCTCTTAATTATTTTACCCAAAGTGGATAATTCTATGGATTTAGCCTAAAGCCAGATCTTTCGAAAATCTTATAAATACCTAATCAGTAACATTTTTTTTTATTAAATACTTTTTAATAAATAATTATAATTGTTATATATAAAATTTGGGTACATTTAGTTAGAGTTAGTCAAAAATAAATCGACTTGATGGTTAAAATCCACAAAAAATAATAAAAAGCTTGAGTGGGCCGTCTTGCCCCACTCTCCTCTACCTACTGGGTCAATCATTATAAAAATATGTTGTTAATAATTAACGATTCCGTACGTCACTTGTTAGTTTTCTTCTTTTCTTTTTCCAATTCTTCGGATTTATAATTTTGCGAAGGAAATATCGGCCTTGCTCGCGTAAATGGACCAGAAGTATGGTGCTTTTACAGCCGACCCCGTGATTGACTTTGCCTACTGTTTATTTCTAAAAAACCGCAGCCGCCGTATGTTTTCAATCTTGAATCTGACTTTTTGGCAGACAAAAATAAGGCATCTTCCACTCAACCATTTTTGGACCCAGCATGAAGAGTTATTATGGGTTTTCCACAATCTTTTCTCGTGAGTGTCGAATCACGTTTTGTCTAAACACACACAAGACAAAAAAGATTATTTTCAAACTTTCTCATAAGATAAATGGAGTACAGGTACTTACCCCTACTTTTTGAACTATCCAGTGAAATCAGCCTCGCGAGGTCAAAGCTCGAGAATCAGGTATATAAATACAAGGCAAGGCCTACTTAATGTTGGGATGGGTTTCATCTCGGTGCTAAAAAATATTTAAAACGTTAAAACAATAAATGCACTACATTTTTGGTCGTATTATAACAACGTCGATAATCCCGCAGAAGTTTCAACCGAACATCGCCAGCACTGAACCCGGCCGCACCCCGTCCCCCGACGACTACCCCTAGTCACGCTGATCTCATTCAACTACCCCAGCCGGCACTAGCGGCGGCCATGGTCAATTCGAGGCGGGTACTGCGCCCCAGGACGGAACCCCGGAGTTACGTCGAGTCGCCAGACGCCATCATTAACGGCACCTTCGGCGGCAAACGCACAAACGGCTTGGGTATAGATTACGGGGGGGAGAGCGACTCCAGCGATGGGGAGATGCCCCCGCTTCCGCCACCCATCAAGGAACTCACCCCGGCTGAGATTAAACAAAGGTGGGTGCGAAAAATAATAATAGGTTGCGTAATAGAGAAGCGAAGCAAATTTTACAATAGCCTGGCAATGGGAATTGTCGTCTCTTATTCATTTATATGAACGGTATATTCTTACCGCAATTGTTTAAAAATTATTATTTCGCTATGGAAAGTCTGTAAATAATCATCGAAAAAAGCGCCTACAAGGTGATGTACAGGGTATGCCACGTTAGACACTTACGGATTATCTTAGTTATTTTTCAGTCTGCTTTTTTTGAAATTAAAGATGGCGTCATCAAAATTATCACCGCTCTCTTGGTTTTTGAGATACAGGGTGAAATCCAGAACTGTCGGCCAATGTGTGTTTTTTAAGTGGAACATCCTATATATTATTTTTACATTAATGGGAAATAGTTTAAACTTTTCAAAAATATATATTAGTAAAAAGTTGTTTGGAACACAACTTAAAATATAATTTTTGACATTTTTTTACTTTATTTCTAGCAGTAGGGCGTAGTAAATCAACCAAACCAACTAAAAGTAAGATGATTGAGACCGACATAAAAACCCCAACGTAAAAATATTATCACAAATAAAAGTAAAACATAACTCTTTAAAAAAATTAGACAAATAGCATATTAATATACATTTTAAGCTTCTGCAGTTGCGTTGTATAGTTTTCTGATGTCCACCGCAAAAGTGGCCGATTTTTAGTCTTTTTCTTTTTCATTGTTTGAACCTCTTCTGTGTTTGGACTTTGCGGAGATTTCCGAAGGCTTGACAAATCTGTCGTGAGTGTCGTGGAACTCGTGTGCCTAAAAACCAAATACGCGTCCAATTTTCCTTTCAAAAGTTAGTAAAGGGTTTATTGGATTTTATTAAATTTATACGGTTAACTTTTTTTTTTAAATACGTTGAAAATTGTGTACATTCTTTCCTAAGATAAAGAAATCATACGATATGAATACGAAATACTTTTTTGTGTATCGTAAAAACAAATAAGTAAGTATCTGAAAATTATAAACATTAAAATAAATAAAATATGCCTGAATTCAAATTTTGACAAGAAAAGACGAAAAGGACGTGACATTTTTTAGTTAATTCTTTCGAAAACGTTTTTGTGAATACCATTCGAGATGGTAAGTTAAGTAAAAATGAAATAAGTAATACTTACACAAAATTTTATTTACCTACCTGTATTCGTTTCTTGCTGCTTATTATCTACTTTTAAACTATGCGTTGAGTTTCTTTCTTGTAGATTTTACAAGTCGGTCTACACCCAGATTTATTTGGATCTGTTGTTTTAATATAAAACTTTCTTTTCTTCCATGCTCTATTTTCTATTAGTTCCACTCCTTTGACAAACCACCAATTAAATACGCGACACGTATTCGACAACGACAATTTATAGATCGGAAAAAAAAACAGATCGCCACAGAAAATAGTTTTGCAAAAAGCGTATTCTAACCCATTGCTTATAGTGGCTTTAAAATATTTTGTAATTGCTACAAAAAAAAATCAATCAAAAATCAAAAAAATCATAAAATAAATATTTTTTTCAATAATGCAATGAAAATGCCCAAGAAGCTTCGGAACTATATTACCACAGGTCAGGTTTTTAAAGGGATATGGTCAGTATAATTTTCATATTATAGAAATTTGTCTTGTTTATATTAGATATCCAGAGAGACGACAACCGTTTTTAGATATATTTGCTCGTCTGAAAATAAATCCTTTATTCAACCACGTCCTAAAAATTATTTGAAGGAGAATAGGGATCAAAGAGAAACAAAAATATTAGGTTATATAGAAATAACGCCGTCAATGCATATAACAAATACATAGAACAAGCAGTAAGGGTATACTTGACTAGAAATTCTGTTTTTACAACCGACCCCGTCATTAACTTTGCCTACTCTTTACTCCAAAATCGCATATACACCACCCTGCCGAGCAAACCCTTACCCGTAACCATTCCAGGGCCGTCCTACGAATCAATGCTTAATCAAATTTAAAACGATCCATTTACGTGTCAAATCAAAAATTCAAGTTTTTACAAATATTCGTTACGGACCTGCGAAGGTTTGCGGTTTAGGTACTGTAAAATACTTAAAACGTCGAAGCAATAAATCCGCAATATTTTTGTTCGTCCAATACCAAAATCGACTGCCCAAAGAATTAAAAAAAAACATATACCATATACCATCCATACAAGTATAAGAGTGTTCTACATATGGTCCGACTAATGTTACTTTTTAAGTTCGGGAATCTTAAATAGCAATTGGTGACGAGAAAACCACCATTTCATTTTTGAAAGGGCCCAACAAGGACGCTTTAGGCGAGGGGTATCGTGTTTTATTTTGGGATAACGAATAGTATACCTAATTTATGAAGGAGATCTTACAGCACGTAGATACCTAGACATTCTTGAAGAAATTATTCTAGACTTACTTAAAGATATCCCCTTAGCAAGATAACTCTGTATTATTAAGACCATTTTTAGATGACAACGTTCCTCAAAAATTGATAGGTACCAACGGACTTGTAAGATAGCCTCCACGATCTCCGGATCTTTCAGTTTTAGATTTCTTTTTATGCGGATATATGCAAAATGAAGTATTTATTGATTTAACTTTCGAAACTCTACGAAGGAGACCAATAATTTTTTTAAATGCCATCGAAAATGTGCGAGTTTTGCATTCGAGTAAATGGCCTCCAATTTTGAACAACAGTTTTAGGTATAATATTTTGTTATTTCTCTTTAGATGTAATGTTATTTCATATTATTAAATGTAATAATGGACTATAATAAGTTGAAAATTATTACAACCAGTAGTTCATAACGTATAAAACACATTTAAATAATTGAATTTCCTGTATGTCATTAATTGGTTGTAGTTTGGTAGCGTTTACACCATATTCCAGCCAGATCCATGTACATCTTCAACCGTGTCCTTTAATCTCGGTCTAGTCAATATGCCTAAGCTTACCATCCAGGATGTCTTGCAGCAAGCAAAGCACTGAAAAACAAAATTACCGTCGGTCCTGATGGCATACCAAATTTTACCGTTAGAGACTGTTCCCACGCACTGTGTACTCTTTTATATCACATTTTTAACCTGGTACTTGAAACGGTTGTTTATCCAGAACCTTGGAAAATTGTCAAAGCTTATTCTATTCGCAAAAAAGGGTGATCCTTCCATAGTTGAAAACTACCGACCTATTTCGATCTTGGAGATCATATGTAATAAATTGATTTTTCGCATGTCTGCGACTCCCTCAACAAGCAAGGTCAAGTTGATGTTATATACACTGACTTCCACAAATCGTTTGACCAGATAGATCAACACTCACTGATTGAAAAAGCATCTCAAAAATTTGGTTTATCCGATTCGCTGATTACAGTGTTGAGGTCCTGTCTGGTGAACCGTCGATATTTCGTCCGAGATTGGGAGGTTTAGATCCGTTCCTTTTGTACCAACTTCTGGTGTGCCTCAAGGTTCTAATCTTGAACCACTTCTGTTCAGTATATTTATAGACGATCTCATATCTTTGATCATCTGCGGGTTATCCGTGCTGATAAGTCTTATCATTTTCTTTCTCCTTCTTTCCTTCTTTTTTTTTTTTTTAGTTACCAGAGTAGTAGATTTAAGATTAGTTTTTACGTCCCCTGAATGATTTATATTTAATATTTCCTGTAATTGGGTCATGTTACCTGTTCGAAATAAAGTGCTATTGTTATTAATCGATTACTTGGATATTGTTTTTAATAGATTAATAATGACCTACTGCTACAAATAAATTAAAATATAAAAAATATTAAATTTTTAACTTAATTTTTTAAACAACTTAAATGATTTCTAATTAATGTAAAAAAAAATATACAGGGTGCTCCATTTAAATAAATGTATGTTTGTTTCATAACTAATTAACGTATAGTAAGTAGCAAGTAAAAAACAAATTACGCCACTGGATTCTACGGGACAAATCCTATAAGAATGTTTTTTAAACTCTATGATAACTTAAAGGACAACGGAGATACGAGGATGGTTTAAGATTTCACTCCGTATCTCAAAAACCAAGAGGGCCTTGATAATTTTGTTGACGGCATCTTTAATTTTACAAAAAATTAGCACAGTGTCGCGTAAACCGCGACTCTCTATCAGTAAAAGTGTCCACAATGGGATACGCCCTACGTCAACTTGTAAGCGCTTTTTTCGATGATTATTTAAGGACTTTTAATCGCCAAATAATAATTTGTAAACAATTGCAGTAACAATATACGGTACGGAGAAGGGGAAGGGATAAATACTGGAAAAATTCAAATAAATCGCAAGGTATTAAAAATAGGTATATGATATAATAAAAGTTGTGGATCTCTGTAAGATCTTTCCGAAAAAATAATAATATAAAAAATCGAAATTTTTCAATTTAAAATGATTCAAATATATTCGTTTATTTTGAACACCGTGCGGTATCTTTTATGTCATCTTCAAATAACGCTAATATCGAACCTGACGAAAACTACTAGGTTTAGGTCCGAACATTTTCAAAACGAATTCAAAACAAAAGTTAAAAATAGAATGTTCCATTTAAAAAAATGCATGTTTGATTCATCACGCTTTTTTTGAGCCACCCTATATAGTTTAAAGTAATTTTAAATTGTGCAGCCTAGCAATATATATATATATATATATATATATATATATATATATATATATATATATATATATATATATATATATATATATATATATATATATATATATATATAACTTTTTTATTAACCACTTCCTCATAATTTTTCAAACTCTATCGTTGACTCACCCTGTATTTTGAAATTCAACGTTTAATTTTTTTCGCGGAGTATTACTTCAAAAAAGATCTAAAAAAAAAACCGTATATTTAACCAATATTTTTTATTTCTATTAATAGTACGCACCCAAATATGGTAATGTATTCATGTCATTCATATAAGTGATCAAATCAAATTAACAATAATTTCATTTGTAACATCATAATACTTTATTTATATTTATTTACGTAATCACTCGATCAGTTAATTATTTATAAACAATTAATATGTCCAAATCCTTGCCCCAAAAAACAAACTTTCGCCGCTTATACAGGGTGTTATCTGCCCTCTGTGGCAAAAAGGAAGGGAGAAGAAGTCTTACGAAAATTCGGCATAATTTTTTTTGGAATACCTCTTCGCTTTCGATATACGGGGCGCTGAAAAAATAAAATTTTGATATGTTTTCTTTTTATTATTAATTAGGGGTAACGAGTACCATAACGTCGAAAAAGTAAATTATAGGAGCATGTCCAACATTAAATATTTTCATCAGTCCATAAAATCTTTTTCAAAAAATTGTTATCCTCATTATGTCTATTTAAAAAATCCAAACAAAACTGCATCCTCCTATAACGTTTTAACGTTGTTCTGCCCTTGGGTTTTGAGTTTTACGAAATTAAAATGCATTATATTTATATTCTCAGTGCATTGATCCCCCAGAACTACCTGTCTATTGATACTGGATGTGCTTCATAGAATCCTAATATGTTTGCCATATTTTCTTCATTTAAAACATTTAATACATTACCGTTTCCTTCAAATTTCTTTGTCAGGCTTGGAAATATATGTTTTGAAGGAGTTCAGCGCCTGGATAAAGTCTAATATACTGATGACGAGCTGCGGTTGCACTTTTATTATTCAGAAAGTATAGATAGATAGATAGATAGATAGATATTTATTTCGCTTTTCGATACTACATATAACACATATATGGGTATATTAAGCACGTCACATCACATTAAAATACAGTGTTTAAACAATACATTTAAAAAAAAATCATCTACTGAGTAGAGACACCTATCAGTTAAAAAGGTCTTAATTCTTTTCTTAAACACAGATAAACTATCAGTTTCTTCGAAGCATTTATAGAGATTTAAAGCGACTCCATGTACTTTCAAGCCAAAATACCTTGGGTTTTGTTGCCCGATATGCAGTCTAGAGAATGGAACGTCTAAGTAATCTCTTTGCCGTGCAAGTCTCATCTCTTATTCCATCTTATGTTACTTTCTTACGTGCTATTCGTTACATCATGTAACCTATCACTGATTGGAACAGCCCATAGTACACCAGCTTTAAAACGTCAATGGATACCGTATCTCTAATATTTTGGATTAAGTATGAGCAAGGGCTTATGTCATGTAGAGCCAATATGTTGTCGATGTGATGATTCCATGTAAGTTTGTTGTCAATGTGCAGACCGAGAAACTTAGTAGCCTCCACGTTTTCTATAGAACGTCCCTCTATCTTTTTTATCTGTAACTAAAATGCTTGTGTCATCTGCATACAGTACTAATAATGCATCTATATTATCCTGGGGAAGATCGTTAGTAAAACAATTAAAGAGGAGCGGTGATAGGCAGGATCCTTGCGGGGTACCTATGCCTACATATTGAGGGCTAGATTTTGAACCTACGATCACAACCTGCTGTACTCTTTCGGAGAGGTAAGATTTAACACATGAGTTTGCTGGACCTCTAATGCCCATATTTTCCAGTTTTTTTAAGAGCAGGCTGTGATCGACAGTGTCGAATGCGCGGCTCAAATTAAAAAATAAGCCTAATGTGGCTGTTTTGTTATTAAGGTTATTGTAGATATGCTCCAGAGCACAGTCCAGAGCTGTACTTGTGGCGCGGTTGGCTCTGAATCCGTTCTGAGCATCAGGAATCAAAGAGTATTTTTCAAGGAACTTGTGCAGTCTCTCATTATAACAGGACTTTTTTTGCTACTTGATATTGAAGAGCTACTAGACGGTAATTCTCTATGTTGGTTTTATTTCTTGCCTTTATTTTTTAAAATAGGTACGATTTTTGAGATTTTTAAGGCCTGTGGATATGATAGAATGGGAGCTATAATATCTTTAATAGAGATTAACAAGGTATTTCATCGATTCCAGATGATTTCTTACGGCGTACTTTTCCAATTACTTGTGTTATCTCTACTGTTGTAGTAGGTTTGTAGAGAAACATCGAGCTTGAGTGTATTTTAATATCAGGCGTTAGATTTTGAGGCTGCTTGCTATTGTTAGCAAGTTCAGCAAAATATTTGTTAAAAATTTCACAGATTTTGTATCCGTCTTGTAGTTTTTCACCACCAACGGTTATGTTGGTTATAGAAGAGGATTTACTTTTATCGTTGCTATTTGGCCTGACTATTCCCTACTTATATTATCAGATTTCATTAACCTTAAATTGTGGCGAGTTTTCTTTGCGTGTTTAAGTTTTTTGTTGTAATGGGATTTAAACCCCTTTGTATTTTTTATTATATAGATCATTTTTTATTCTTTTGTTTATTTGATGCATCTCGTGTACCGCACGACTCAGCTCTCTTAATTCTCTATTAAATCAATTGGTTTTTTTTCTGTACCAGACTTTTCATAAAAGAATTTACATTGTTTTCGCCAAACTTTCGGAGAAAGCGTTCTGTACAATTATTATGACAGAACTCCTCAAAAATGAAGAGCTGCAACGTTTGGTCAGAGATACATGTGTCTACTGCCAAACTTTTTAGTCCGGTAAAGTCGACGAAAATATTGTTAATGCATGTTCTAGAATGATAAGTTATTTTAGTTTGTTTGTTGTTTTCAAGCAAGTTGACATTAATGTCGCCGCGAAAAATGTGCTTATTTTTTGGTTCGTATATAGCTTCTAACATTATTGAGAGTTTCTCTACAAATGCGTCGAAGTCTCCCTTCGGAGATCGGTATACAGAGAAAATTGTGATACATTCCTTGTTAAGCTCTAATTTTATTGAACACATTTCAAATGTTTTTTCTTCGGAGTTATTAAATGGAATTTTTGAAAAATTTAAACTTTCTCGACCCAAGATACAGACTCCCCCTCCTCTGCAACCAGTTCTCGAGAAATAACTAAGAACCTTATAATCTAAAAGCTTAAGAAGACTAATGTCTGAGGATTCATGATGTTCTGAGATACAAAACACATTGACGTCGTTGTTATTTAGTATTGATTCGAGGGCTTCTTTTTTGTTTGTGATACTCCCTTGAATATTAAGGTTCATAAATGTCTCACCGTCTTTTTTACAAAAATCCTCATTTTCTGAGTCGTATTTACTGGCGCTGTTTTTTACATTTTTCTTGGGAAAGAAATATCTGCTTAGTCTTGCACCTTGCGGCCATAGGTTTCCGTTTAAAATTGCATCTTTGTGCGTGAAAGGGGCACATATTTTAAAGGAACTCCACTGTACAAATACTTGAATAATAAAACCATCAACGTTGTTTACTAATATGTCAAACATAAACATATAAAATATACAGGGTGTTCCATTAAAAAAAATATGATATTGGCTTATATGTCAGAAAATTGATACTCACTGGAAAAAAATGGCTACTAACCCTACATTTTGTTTTTTTTTGTTTACCTTGATATTATCAAGATAAATTGAACGCACGGTACGTTTTAAGTCGCAAATTGCAAAAAAAATGCTATAACAATTTGCATGGCGGGTTACAGAGAACACGGCTAACCATTTTTCAAAGAATTCATGGTACTAACCCCTTCCATCTTTCTACATTTTATAACAATCAATGGAAATACATAAAAATACATCGGACTTTAATATACAGGGTGTTTTCTAATTGAATGGGAGGGGGGGAGATTTTTGGGTCCGTTTTGAAAAGAAAGGACATATGTCCCAAACGTTTTCGCAATTCATTTGTTTTCTGCCCGCAGTAGTTAAGACTGATGTATCGTTCGGTAGGTAAAAACTGTCACAGGCAAATTTTTGAAATTTGACTTTAACCGCAGGTCTGGTTTGTTTGGGGTCACATAAGTTCCTTTATCTCTCAAAAGTCATTTCAAATTCCTGTATCAATTTACTACATCCAGTAACGAACTAGGTAAAGATATCATGCTATGACGTAACTGTGCAATTGCTCCGACTAGATTTTACGTGTTTTTTTTTTGTCTATAGAGAGAGGGGCCTTCGAAGACTGAGGGAGGAACTGCGAGCCGAAGAAATGAAACTCGTGCTGCTCAAAAAACTGAAACAATCGCAACAGCTTAAGGAGAACATGGCGGTGCAGCTTCCGCCGGGGGTGCCCCCTTCGGCGTTGCCCCCCGCCGGTCTCCCCAGCGGATTAAGTATTACCCCGACTGTCGTGAAGGTTCGCGAACATTCCCTTCTTACGTCGGTAGGGCGGGAAAAATGTTTTTTTTTTCGCTTAGGTTCCTCCAGCAAATGCCAAAGGCCAGTCGCCTCAAACGGCGCACACGCGGCATGGTTCCACGCCCGGACTGCACCCCAAGTCGAGTCCGGGGGGCGTGCCTTCCCTTATGAGAGGGGTATGTTTTTTTTTTCTATCTATTGCATTCGTTTGGTTATCGCAACATTTTTAGTTTTTAATATAATCAACCGGTTGAGCGTTAAGATGTGATTTTCGGTAATTTATTAGAGACTTTGAGATTTGTAGGGGTTCATAACGATTTACAATGATTTGGTAATAATACTACTACTACTAATAATAATAATAATAATAATAATAATAATAATAATAATAATAATAATAATAATAATTATTATTATTATTTTCCCAAAGAAAACTACAAAATGGTATAGGAATAGCCAAAATACATAATAGGTACAATATACATAGACAGATAAAAAAACGTTTACTGAAAACAATTCCTCTAGACTATAAAACGTTTTGGATAACAAAAATATTTGTAATCGTTTTTTTAAATAGACGTTTTAAAGTTTTGTCGCTTAACTCCAATGGCATATTGTTAAAAATACGAACACCTGAATAATCGGGGGACTTCGAAGTCGCGTCACCAACTAACTTAAAATTCTATAAATTAAAACCTCACGAAGATTTATAAAAAGATAATTTACACTATTTCGAGTTGTATCACAGACATTCATCCAATCTCAATCCTAGAAACCTCACAGTATCCCTACTTGCGATAATGTCATTGCCTAAACAGATATTAAAATTATCACATTGTTTCTTATAGTTTGGGTTTTGCTTGCGTTGAAATATAGATTAATATTTCCAAACCATGTCATCAATCTATCGAGTAAAGTCTTGTCATAGATATAAGAAAGTGACTAACTGATACGAATTAAGGAAAGACCCGGACAGGCTGTAAGAATGAAATATGGCCGAACAGGTCCGTACTTTGCTTGGAATTTAATTATTCGGGGTTTTGTTAGGAAATATACTAAACACTAACTTGCATTGTCCATTACAATGACGTTATTAGGAGGAATGTTTGGAACTAGTTTGTTTTAAAACCAACTTTCAAATAAATCAGCGGTGGTGTCTTCATGGTAAGCCAGAGAAGAATCTTTAATATTTTTCGCAGACAGAGAAAGTCCATTTGGAATCCCACCATCTTTAGAGCCAGCATGCAGATTAGTTAGTCTTTTACCTCTTTTTGATGGCCCTTTTGTTTTACACTTATCAGTTGAGTCAACCCAACCTTTTTCCGGGGTATCATAAGTGTCGAACCAGATTTCATCCAAGTAAATAATTGGCTTTGTTGTTCTCTGTAAATCCTAATTTTTTCTAGATATTCCAGTCGCCATTTCCGAATTCTAAAAGATTAAAACTTGCCTTTTGTCAATTTTTGTAAATCTAAAACCCATGTGTTGAATACACTGCCATAAGGTAGTTCTGCCATATTTAACACCGGTTTCATCTTTTTCTCCTAATTAAGATATCTAATGTAGGCACGCTTTGTTCCTCGTATAACTGGTGAATTTTACGCCGTATTATATCTTGATCTACACTCTAGAAAATTCACAATTTTCCATGTAGTTGATGTTGGAATTTTCGTCAATGTGGCCGTTTCTTCTAAAGATGCTTGCTTGCTGGCATCACGTTCAATGAGAGTCAAATAAACATTGTTTATAACTTCTTTAGTCTCAATACAATAGTGTTTTCTACATTTGGGAGCATCTCCTGAGATACACTAGACTCGCACATATTTTGTATAATTCGCACACGATTCAACACACGCTGTATTACACACGGAATAAGAATGATTACCAATAAACTTAAACTAAGTAGTATACCAAACCAAAGAATATTAAACACAGGTAGGTATAAAATTATTTTCTATTACGGACCACAATTTTACCTGAATTTAAATTCCGAAACTTTAGGTAAAAATCTTGTTGCATTGATTGTTAATGACCACCCTTGGATAATCCCATTCAAAAGCAATTTGTCACTTTCTTATATCTATGAACAGACCGTACCCTACAGCACTTCTCCTAGAGGTCATCGTATCACGGTAAAATTTTCAATATACAATTTACATATAATATGAAGATTACAGGGCCTAAAACTGAACCTTAAGGGACAGCCTATGCGTTATAAAACTTAAGGGATACAAATTAAGAACAATGTTCTTAAAGGCCCACCCCAAGATTTATTTAAAAAAAATTCGTCTAGACGATAAAATGTTTTGAATAACAAAAATATTTTAAGTCGTTTTTTAACTCCAATGACAGATTGTTAAAAATATGAACATCTCAATAATCGGGGGACTTCCAAGTCACGTCACCAACTAACTTAAAATTATCCCACGGAAATACGAACAAGCAGCAGTTCAATTGCTTCAATCTTTTCTGAAGTCATGTTGTTACCTATAAAACTATGATATTTATCTACAAAATACATTATTCTCGCTAAGAAAGCATGCTCAAATACATTTATAATTTTTTTATAAATTCCCTCCAAAAAAGAATAGTAAACTGTTTTCAAGATATATTTTTATATATACAGGGTGTCGCAGAAATCACAGACAGATATAGTTATATATTTTTTAATGAAACACCCAAAAATTCTGCACATTTCTTGTATAATATGTCCTATACCCAAGTGCAATAGTCTTTGAGATGTTTATGTAAAATTACAATTACACGTCTTGCTGGTGGCTAGTACTTCAGCTATAAACCACTATTTTTTACAGTTTTCAGAAAATAAACAACAAACGCATCCTATATGGTTACATTATTGACACATTCTCATTGGACTTCCCAAAAATAAAAATAATAAAATAGATAGTTAGATAAATTAGTATTTTACGCTGCTTATCAAAACCTCCAGAAATGATTATGCAGAATCAAATACGACTTTTTGTAGACACAAATATCATCAGGATATCGCTCTGGATGTAGTTGTGCGCTTTTGAGTGTTACAGATGACATTATAAAATCATTAGATTCCGCTCAGTCATCCGTTTTGCTGCTTCTGGACTAATAGAAAGCGCTTGACACGATATGCCATGAACTACCGTTAGCTATTTTAAATTATGTCGGATTTTCAGAAAATGCCAAAATGTTAATACGAAGTCAGGTAGAGAAACTGTTAGTTTCGGCGTGCCACAAGGTTCTATACTGGGACCTCTTTTATTTACAATTTGCACCAGCAATTAATTAATAAAGATTTAAAAGAATTTAAGATACAAGCGGGTGGCAGAGTTTTACAGTTTGCTTTATCTTGGTCCAAGAATTAACACAGATTTTGGTCTGAAGTTCAAAAAATTATAGTGGCAGAATCTTTAGTGTTAAGTACAAGAGACTGTCTACGGTTTATTTATGATATAAGGAAATATGATCGAGTCTTGCACAAACTACAAGATGCCAAACGGTTGAATATGCAGAACAGGCGTAGCCTACACTCCTTGGTATTTTTTCATAACATTATCTTTAATAACAGTCCACTTTACTTGACAAAGTAACGCATCGGACAGTTTAAACCTTAGATTTAAAGGTCTTGTCTCTCCACCACCGAACAAGACATCTCTCTTTCAATGAAGCTTTTTTTACAATATTTATAAACTTTACAATGCCATTCCTCTTTCTATGAAAGTCCTATCACCATTACTTTTTTGAAAGGAAATTAAGACAAGAATTGTTTAGCCATCAACCACGATTCAGGTTTTTTCCAATTTAGTTTCAAGAAGTAATTTGAAAAATACAATGAAATTTACATTTATTATGCGATACGTCGCCGTCTCGTCGTTTGGGATTCCTCGAATCGGTTCCCTTATTTATTGCTTCTAATGCTAACAGGGACTTTAAACGATTTTGCTACATATATTTACATGGCAAACTTAGATTTGCATGGCCAACTGACATTTGCACAAAAAGATGCGATCTGAAAACATTATTTATACTTCAATAATATTTTGAGCTTTAAGAAAGGTATAATTCTAAATTAATATAAAGAAGGTAACGTTTTTTTCACAAAATAAAAAAATTCCCTATTTATTTTTATTTTTCTCGGCTTATTGCGATATTTTTACATAATTTGACAAATTTTCGGAGTTTTGTTCGTAAAAATGTTTATACATACTTCGAAAAATCTAAGTTTAGGTATAGGGAATGATTAATAAATTTAAAAGAGCAATAACAGGGTTTTTCATTTGATTTTTTTCACCAAAATTTATATTTTTCATTTTGACTCACCGTGTATAAACGACTTTATAAAATTGTGGGCATAATAAGATTACAGCTCTTGGAAATGCCGTTAAAAATATGGAATCTTTAACACAGTGCATTCTTGACGAGAAAACGGCCATAAATCCGAAAACACTCAGTATAGACCATACATTGGGTGATTGAGTACAAAACATTTTTCCTGTATATTTGAAAATAATTTTAAATTGTTTCTTTTAGTCTTATCTAATCTATAACTTACCATTTGAACACCCTGTATATTATTTCACTTTTGGATTTCTGAGAAAGCTTCATGGTATATGCTTCTTTAGGTCTCGCTATACTTAATCCCAATAGTTTCTTAGGTGTCTTTATTAATTCAAACATTTTGAAAGATGTAGCGAGTTTTAAACAACGCGCCATTTAACCATTTTTAATTTTTAATTAATTTTATGTTATGCTAGGTAAAAGGAAACACAAAAATCTTCCTTTACAGGGTGTCCAAAATTTACTAAGCAATTGCAATCATTTTCAAATATGCAAAATTTCGATTTTTCAAACTCGACACCCTGCATATCGTTGTGTGATGTACAAACTAATTTGTACTAACTGTTTTCAACGGCTTCCTTGTATATTTCGTATTTTCTATCAAAAGTCAACCACAACCCATTGTCAGCATTGTTTTTGACCAAGTTTGATATGTTCTTAGTTTTCTTTAGTTCAGTTAAGGAACTCTGGAATTGGACATCCAGATAACCCGATTTGTAGTCCTTGGATTTTCTATTCCAAGGTCTAGTATACTCTTTCCATGGATGTGCTGGATGGAAGATTGATTGCTTATGACCAAAGGGACAATGCGAAAATGCTGGAAATTATTTTTTAATTTCTAGAG